AATAAATTTAATTAGAAATTTTTTAATAGCTGAAGTCATGTTTGTATGATTGAATTGTAACGCCCCCTAAAACAAATTATTTAAAAGTACTGCCCTCTTTATTAATTATTTTTTCTCCACTACCCTTCTTCTAAATTTTTCCTAAAATTTATGACAAATTAAAATACTTTATACTAAGAACTAGAGGGAGTGCATAATTGTGTCAACTATTTTGTCGATGCTTACAAAACTGATTATAAAGTCGACACAATCAGTTTTGTTTTCATAATTACCACTTTTGTTTTTTATTATTAGGACCACAATTATGTATTGGAACATATCTCACGCTAAATTTTTACAAAGTACACCTAAAATATTAGAAAATATTTTAAACGTATAATCATTTTTCTAGTAAAAAAATTTAAAAGAAAAACCAAATTAAAGCGTATCATTCATTGTTCCACAATTTTTGTTAGGGTATTGCTAAACGCAGCTTGATTTTACTTCGTGCAACTTGTAAAATAGACTAAAATACCCCTTTAATACTACGCGGAGTAATCTCAATCCGTGCGAAATAAAATAAATCCGCGAAAAATACTCATTTTTCTCTTGCTTTCAATGTATTTGATATAGACAAAATCCTTTCGATTGCAAAATCCAATTTCAATACTTTTTGTAAAATGATCACACCAAAAAAAATGATTGCACCAAAGTCGCCAATCACACCAAAAAAACGAAAAAAATAAAAAAAATAAGAAAAGGTTGCACTAAAAGGAGAAAAAAAAGATCACCCATTTCGCAAAATAAAAAGACCAACGGTCATCGATTATATCAAAGCCAGAAAAGCTTAGAGTATTTCACACACAAAAAAAAAAAAAAACGCCGAAAACCCATAACACTAAAGCCGCTCGATCACGCCAAGAGTAGAAAAAAAAACGATAAAATTCACCCAAAAAATTTACTTCACTTTTTCCTCTTTCATGTGTTCTTTAGTTCACCGTCATTTCAAACTATCAACAATCAGTAAATTTTTTACTGTATATTGAAACAATATGTGTGAAATTGTAAAAAGAGATGATTGTAAAAAATAATTTGGGAGGCTTTAGAGTTTAAGAATATTTTAGTTTATTTTACAAACTGTGTGTAGTATAATTAAGTTGGGTTTGGCAACTCACTTTTTGTTATTTTACCATTTTGTACACTGTAGAAGCGAATAAAATAGATGAATAACAAAAGCATTAACTCTATTTTTTTTTTTTTTTGGGTTATTAGATAAGATTCGGAATTTGTAATTTCCTTTTAGCTTTCTGGTTATCCATAGAAAATATTTTGTCCCCTAAAACATTAATATTTAATAGATATACTTTGGGAAAAGTGTAACCAAAATAGTTTACTTTTGTTTATTATACCTTCTTACTAAAAGTTATACCTGATTAACATCGGATTCGTGTGATGGACGGACTATTTGTTGGTATTGCTTGGTCTAAGTAGACAGTAGTACGTAAGATAAGTTATAGTTTAAGTAACTAATTTCATGTCATTACTATTCTACGAATTCGGATTGAAGATGGGTTAAGTATCCCAACATGTGCTTTCATATTGTTTTAGAAGTTGAACTGAAAGGAGTTATAACATGAATGCTGATAAAAGTGAACTTCATGTTGGCATTTGTTAAAATTTATTTCAAAAGATCATATTTAGTATTTTAAATTCAACTGGCTATTTCAGTGTTTAGAAACCGAAGTCTTTCTTTTGTGTTTTTCGGTTTTGATCTTTTGATATGTTTAATACAGATGAAGTAAAGTATCTATCTTTCAATAAAGCCAATGATTCATTAATTAAACTCAAGAGTTAATGGAGTAAAGCTTTGATCTTTACATAATTAGATGAGGTTGGTTTTAATGAGGTTTAGTGTGCTTTGGCCTATAAATAGAAAGCACCAAAACATCTTTTTTATTATTCAGAAAAACAAAACTCATTTCTCACTTTTCCTTCAAACTTTAAATCACTCCTCACGAGTAAATAACTTTGGTTATCTTTCTCTTTATTTTCAAATAGTTTTACAAATATTGGATTCATATACTTGTTAGTTCCTGTGCCCTCTAAACTTAAAAGAGGAAGGGTTGTTTTATCTTGGGGGAACATTTCGTTACATCAAAATAGTTTCTTTAGAACAATGCAATTTTGCGCGACTCGAGTATTTCGTTGATTTAGTATTTTTGAAATATTATCCCAACAATCTAAAGAAACTAAGATTCCAACTAATGCTACATTAACCCATGATATTATTCTTGCTACTTTGATGGTACTTAAACTGTGAGCTCATACTGAGATGAGTGGTATCATTTGTCGTGCAAGGAAAAATCTTATAAATGGTAATTGCTATGAATTCATTTTATAATAAAAATGTTAGAACTATTGTGTTCCCAAGGTAAACACAATATAGATAAAATGCTATGACAAATAAAGGTTGCCGTAACACTTATTAGTTGCGTGCTTGTCTTTAAGTTTTATCAAGCTTTGAAGTAATTAATGAAGCATGCCAAATTAATTTCTTTGGGATTAATACTAAATTTATTAAAAAGCATGTATCATATATTATTCCTTTTGGAGTCAGTAGTCTAACGTGATTATGTATGCATATAAGGCATGACAATTAATATTTTACTGATATCTAAAATTAAAGCAAGCCCTGTTTGAAGACTGAAATGGACAACTTTTGTAAATATTAGGAAAGGGTTTAAGTTTTGCAAAATTCAACATGGTTAGTATTCATTTTGAGAATATTAAGAATGGAAACAAATTTGATTTCTTAAGCATGATACGGAAAATTAAACTTATATGTGTGTAATATTGACTTGTAATATGAGACTAGTCATACTGCAACACTTGCATGGTTTAATTTGTTTTAAAATTGCTTATAGATGAATTACTAAATTCATGTTAAATAAATGAGTTCCTGTTCAATAAGAATAGATGCATTTCCGAAAAGAGATAACTCATTTATTCTTGTGTACATTATTGTGTATCTTACTAAAAAGAAAAAGCACTTAATGAATTTATGAGGGGTTATGGACCTAACTGAAATATTTAAAAATGTGGGGGTAGTTTGCTAAACTGATATTGTTTAAATAAAAAAAGGAGTATGTTGGTTCAAAGACCTACAATTGCATGTTATTTTCAAAAGTGATGATAATGTGTTGAGTCAAGGAATATTGATTTCTATGGTTGTCTTATGTTGTTACAAGAACACTATGTTGAGAGACTTTTTAAGAAGTTAAATTATTTTGAGGTGACATTTGTGAGTACTACTTATGATTCTACAATTCACTTGAGAAAGAGTCATGGTGACCCAGTTGGTCAGTCTAGGTATGCTCAGATTATTGAGAGTCTGATGCACTTGATGAACTTCTCGAGACCTGATATAGCTTATGATGTATGTAGGCTGAGTCGATATATTCATAATCCCAACCGTTAACATTGGTCTGCAATAGAGAGACTAATGAAATATTTGGGAGGAATCATTAATTGTGATATCCTGATAAAATCACTGCGAGGAACCGAATTATGGTATCCTAATAATATAGTTGAGAGGAACCATTAACAGTAGTATCTGATATATACTGTGGATTTTCCACTGATCATGGAGGTATCAGTGATGTTAGATGAATCTTTGATTCAAATGTGACAAAAAATCACTAGTGTTTATGTGTTCACTCTTATGAGGAGTGCAATTCTGAGAAAATCAGCCAAGCAGAATATAGTTGCGAGGTCCACTATGGACTCAGAGTTTAGGATCTCTGAAGGTGGGCAAACTATAGCTACTACGTCCACTATGGAGTCAGAGTTTATAACTCTAGAGATGGCTGCTTTAAAAGTTGAGGGCTAAGAAACTTCTTAGCTGATATTCCCTTATAAAATCATGTGATGCCTCCGGTATCTTTGCAATGTGGTTGTCAAACAACAATTTATAAATGCAAAGAATACATTATATAATTGTAAAAGTATACTTCAAATTAAGACACAACGTTGTGATACAATTACTCAAAGATGAAATTATTTCCATAGAGTATGTGAAGTTAGAAATGAATCATACCAATTCACTGACTAAATTCGTGTGAAGAAAATTAATTCTTCAAACCTCATATGAGATGGGGCTTAGGCCAAACTTGAAGTCAATAAAGATGGTAACCCAACCTATGGGATTGGAGACCCCATGAAGTAGGTTCAATGGGTAATAACAAGTCAATATTGGCTCTGCTGCACTTTTTATGTGATGAGTGCTTTAACTGCTACTTAATTGAAGGGATGAGTTTTAAACTCTTAATGATTTCATATTCCTTATGGATGGTGTATTTAAAGCAGTGTGCACTTGATGAATCACCTATATGAGAGTGGAGTGGGGCCGCTCCTATAAGATTTTATTGGTCAAACCCTTGGAGCTCTCATGAACTACCAAGCACGCGCACGACCGAAATAATGTGCATGAAACGCGTTGACAATAAGTTGTGGGTTGCAATGTGGTTGGTAAAACCTTTGTCATATAACAAAGAATTTTCTGGTTCAAGAAATTTATTTCACCAGTGATTCTGCCATGTTCTATCGAACTAGGTTTGGTTCAAGTCCGAAAGACACCAAACTGATGCGTTGTTACTTTATAAATCCAATATTTGTTTTACTAGAAAAATCTTTTGAAATATGTGGGGGATTGTTGACATTTGTTAAAATTTATTTCAAAAGATCAATTTAATGTTTTAAATCCAACTGGCTATTTCAGTGTTTAGAAACAGAAGTCTTTCTTTTGTGTTATTCGGTTTTGATCTTTTGAGATGTTTAATACAGATAAAGTAAAGTATCTATCTTTCAATAAAGCCAATGGTTCATTAATTAAACTCAAGAGTTAATGGAGTAAAGCTTTGATCTTTATGTAATTAGATGAGGTTGGTTTTAATGAGGTTTAGTGTGCTTTGGCCTATAAATATGAAGCACCAAAACATCTTTTTCATTATTCAGAAAAACAAAACTCATTTCTCACTTTTCCTTCAAACTTTAAATCACTCCTCAGGAGTAAATAATTTTGGTTTTCTTTCTCTTTACTTTCAAATAGTTTTACAAATATTTGATCTATATACTTGTTAGGTTCTGTGCCCTCTAAACTTAAAAGAGGAAGGCTTGTTTTATCTTTGAAAAATATTTCATTATATCGAAACAGTTTCTTTAGAACAGTGCAATTTTTTGCAACTCAAGTATTTCGTTGATTTAGCATTTTTGGAGTATTACCCCAACACTTCACAAAACATAACTAACTGATGATAAAATGCATGAAGTACTGAACTTGATTAAACAAAATGGACACGGGATATACTATGATATTAAGTTGTATGTCATATATAAGATCCATTTAGGGTCTGTTTGTTTGATTTTTTGGATGGTTTTTTCAGATTATTTTAATAGTAATTATCTCATCCCAGCATTACTTTTTATATTTCTAATACAATTTTTTACATTTTCAATACAAAAAATACCTAAAAATACACGCTAAAAACAAAACAAACGTACCCTTAGTTATTTGGGGAATCAAATTAAACACCACAGAAAGGTACAATCAGACGGGGGACTTTGGATCTTCCACCTGATCTCACAAACTCAAGAAAGTCCAAGTGATTGAATTCCTTGAATTTCAGGGGATTCTCCTCATGATAAATCAACTCTTCTGGAACTTTGATCTTTTCACGCATGAAGGAAAACAGTGCAATTGTGTACTTCTCTTCAGTTCCTGTAATCACCACCTTATGCAGCGGTGCAAAGATTCTTCCATTGCTCCATGCCTGTAATTAGTCCAACAATGTTTTACTGACGATATCGATTACTTTCACTGTTCCAAAAAATTAGTTGTGTTAAAAATTAAACTCTTATTTTAAGACGGAAAGATTCCCTTTTAACAGGTTCTCACATAAACCATGAGGCTTCTCTGGCAAGAATGTGAGAGTATATCATTCACCTTGTTATTTTAAAACGGTTTGTTTGAGTCAGATGGAATAGTGAATATTTTGTTGTTACCTGAAATGGTTCCCCTGCAATAACTAAGAAAGTTGAAGGTGTAGTAGGTGATGGCTGACAGGTAATCCATTGGCCATCTTTCATCTGAATTTCCAACCCGGGGACTTTATTAGTATCAATTATGCCCAAGAAATTCTTGTCAACGTGAGGAAGAAGACCAAGATTAATCTCATCCACTTTTGGCGTTCGATACTTCAGAAACCTCATCAGATAAAACGAAGAATTGAGCAGCTGGTCACAATACTTATTGTCAACTCCATAGCTTCCAAACACCATTCTCATTACCCCATGATCCAATTCCGACAGCAGCTTCGAGTATGCATATGTGGTATCACTATATACAATCGACCCCCCAAAAAAAAAAAAAAACAAAAATGAAATTTGTACGTTATATTAGTTACTAAGATACTATTTCTATAAGATTGAATCGCAATAGATTGAACGTACCAGAAATTATCATTTCCAGATGGCCACATGAGGTTAGTGAATTCCTTGGTTGCTCCAAGAGTTGCTCCACCTTCAAGGCCAAAGTACTCGACCAGGGGCATAAACGAAAAATTAGAGCCATAGCCAAACCCAAGTATGCTAGAAGTATTTTTGAGTTTGACCTCAGTTGGAAGTTGGAATAACTCCTCGGAGAGTTTGAACATTTTATCATGTAATTCCGGGCAAAGTTGATTGTACTTTGCCAGAAAACACCCATTTGTTTCGAGAGCACGCCGGACCTTGTGGGCTGTCGGTAGCCAAGAATTTGAACTAGGATTCATGCTTTCTTCGGTGATTTCTATGAAGGGAAGCTTGCCGGATTCCCCATTCGAACCCATAGCCGATCAATAATAATCAAATAAAAGTTGGATTTTCAGCTCTTTTTTTTTTTCCCCTCACAGATTGTGGATCGACTTCTACTAATCTTGCATGCTTCAGTTATCCTTTTCCGGTGGATGTAGCGCTCACAGTGTATATATAAATTATATTATTCTTTGCTCTCTTTTTCTACTCCCTCCGGTTCTTATTACAAGACATGTTGATTTGTCCGGAATTTTATTTAATATATTTTTTTAATTGAAAATAAAATCTTGAAAGATATTTTGCAATAATTGAGAAAATATATTTTTAAGATTTTATTTTAAATGAAAGAACATACAAATGAAATTTAAGACAAATCAAAATTTCTTTTAATAAGAATTGAAAAGAATATTTAATAATTGCTTACTAATCTAATTGTAAATGTTATTGAATGGTTAGTAGCATTTAATGACAAATTAGTGCAGATAAATATATTTATCCGAATAAATTAGCTGTATCATCAACTTGGCTGTTAGGTCTTCATGATTCCCCCGGCGATGGTTTGGCTGTACCTACTGCATATTCTTATTATTTGTCAATATAGTACTAACTATTTTATTTTCTTATCAACTAAATTTATGTGATAAATGATCTATGAAAGCAACAAGAACCAAAGAAAATTAGGTGGAAGCTTATTGAGTCTCGAGAGGGCCATTAACAGAAACGCTATGCTCTATTCCACATAGTGAGCTTACAAACAAAAATAGTGGACTGAATTTTATGCTCCGTCTTTCTTATTTATTAGGTCTTAAATAAAAGAAATTAAATCAATCAGTTCAGCACCACTAGTTATTCGGCAAATTAACAGTTTCCTTTTTGTAATTTGGAGTTTCTAAGTTGATGTATGTGTAACACAAACAAATAGGCGGCAACACATGAAAAATAAATGAATGTGTGAAATGCAATGGCTATACCGCATAAATGTCGGTAGGACCGTAGGACAATTTATATTTTATATACTACTATACTTTGGAAGGTGACAACAAATTAAACTAGCGATATCCAAATATATTACATTCACGAAATCCTATGATTGTAAATTAATTATTATGAGGAAGAGAGCTAATAAAACATTTGAACACACATTTTCTTTTCTTCGTACTTATCACACACACATTATCCTTGTATACAAGGAAATTATTAGATCCCACAATATGATCTAATGGCACATTTGGACTTTTTCCCCTCCTCAGTGAAGTAGTAGTCAATGAACTTGTAGTGATCAAACGGCTTGTATTGCAGCGGATGCTCCTCGTCAACAAGTGCTTCTGGTACTTCAATCATTAAGTCCCTAATGAAAGTGAATAATCCAAGCGAATATCTCTCCTTTTTCCCGGTCATCGTCACCCGATGATGAGGCGGTTCAATTCTTCCATTAGTCCATGCCTACACACACACACACACACACACACAATACTCATGCATGTAATTATAATTGAGTCAGAAAATCAAAATATCAAATTTAATTACGTACCAAGCTAATCTAGTTTCAATCTTCCTTGCTATCAAGAACAAACAATAGTTTGACTTTCTGTTTCCATCGTGCTCAATTGCAACAATATTTAGTATAAGTTTGTGGAATAATATATAGCTAGCAATGGTAATATGTTGTTTGATTTTATCATTGTTTCTTTATAATGAAAGAATTGTCCTAAAAGCTACTTCCCTCCCTCTCAGTTTGGTTCTTCATTGTTAGTTCAAGTCGTATTAAAACTGAAAATCCAAACTAGATAATAATTTTGAAATAGAGGAAGTAGTTGACTTACCATGCAAGCATCGCCAGCCATGACAACAAACGAACGAGGAGATGGATCAATGAGAATCCATTCCCCATCTTTGGTTTTGATTTCTAAACCTTTGACTTGATGCTGATGCAGAATGGACATGAAGCTCTTATCAGTATGAGGAACAATTCCCAAATTCTTCTCATTTTCTTCGGGTCCTCGGTACTTTATTAGCCTAAGAAGATACGACATCGACCCCAGAAGCGACTCGTATTCTTTTTCAATGCCATAAGTTTCACACACCATTATCATCACCAGTTGATCCAATTCAGCCACAATTCTCGAAAATGATAGTGCTGTTTCCCTGTCCCCAAAAAAAAGAAAATAATAATAAAATGTGATCACTAAAACTGGAACAACTACTAAGACTATTAAAGTTTTAAACTTATTGCAATTACCTGAAATTGGAATTTCCATTGGGCCACAAGAGATTAGTGAAAGTTTGAACACCTTCAAGAGTAGTGGCATTTTCAATGCCTAAACCTTCATAAAGAGGAACAACCGGTTCTTGCCCGACGTAGCCATGAGAAGGCGTCTTTGAAGTGTTTAAGACTTTAGATTCGACCGGAAGATCGAACAATTCCTCGGCAGCTCCAAAGATGGCTTTATCAAGCTCCGGCGAAACTTTATCAAAGATTGCTACGAAACAACCATAATCTTCAAGGGCACGTACCACATTCGAACGTGTAGTTGACCATGAACTGGAGTTCGGGTCCACGTTGTTCTTGGTCAAATCTATGACAGGAAGGTTTCGGTTTGTTAGAGAACCCATGGTTTCTAGTTTGCTTTGCTTTTCTTTCTTTCTTTCTTTTCTTTTTTTGTTCCTTTTTTCTCTAGTAAGAGGTACGCCAACGTGTAGTAATTTCTTATAGGACCTCAACTCGCTGGCATAAACGTATTGTATAGTCATTTTAGTATTAACTGAAATAGTTATTCCCGCCTGTCTATTTTGATTTGTCTAACGTTTTATTTAATATTTTCTTTCAATTAAAAATAAAACCTTTAAAATATAAAGACCGAAGGGGATAATAATTTAGGGTACTAATGGACACACTTCATTCATTTAATAACCAAATGTAGTTCAGTTAAATAAACTTACCGTTTACATCTTTACTCTAAATTTTTCTAGGTACATTCGTTATCTTGTGGATTATTTACACCGGATTACTATTACTTTTGTATTATATTTAATACAAATATTAAAATTTTAATTTGAATTATTTTCTTGGCAAGAAGTGTAAATAAAGTTTTGGGAGTATATATATTGTGCACGATTAGTTAGGGCTTGTTTGGCCAACATTTTGTTTTAATTTTTATTTTAGTTTTTGATTTGGGTTTAAGATCTGATTTAAAATGTGGTTTGAAATAAAATTTAAAAAATTGTTTGGGTAATATTTTAAATAAACTAATAATATTTTTAGATCACCACCGGTGCCGCCGCCGGCCCGCCCACCACTACCGCCGGATTGGCCGAATTTGGCTGGAATATGGCCGGCCGGTAGCCGGTCCAGCGGCGATGGGCGGTCTGGTGGCGGCAGTGGTTGTGGAGGTGGTGGACGAAAATTATATAAAAATAATTTTTGGAATATTTTTTAAAAGGTAAATTAAAAAGTTGTTTGGATAGTATTGGGATTTGTGTTTGAGAGGTGTTTTAAGAGGTAAAATGAGACAGAAATATAAAATGAAAGTTGGCTAAACAAGCCCTTAATGTTTATATGTGTCGATCGATAACGGTCAAGCGTTCATTTAATTCCGAATTGGACAAACCAAATATATCATCTAATTTGTTAGCTTTTGTTTTTGGGCATCATGATTAGGAATCCAAATAATTATAGTAATCCAAATTTCAATCAGCTCATATTATTTTACAATTAAATCAATTCGCGAATCAAAGCAAATCAATTCGTAGTCGAGTTAGCCCATCATGAGATCAGGCGTGGTACATGTTTTAATTAATTAAAGTCCCCATAAGCTGATGATCATAATAAACGTACGTCAAGATTCGGTGAACGCTATTCTGGCATTGCATGTTGACTACCCTGTCCAGATACATATTTGCAAATATGTGGTAGAAGAGATGCGTCGACGACTGGATAGGTCCTCTTGTTTAGATGTTTATTGGAGCCGGCAATCAGAAAATACTGTTGCTTACGAATTAGCTTTTTATGCAAAATACAGCGATTCTGATTTTGTTGAGTGATTTGAACCACTCTTTTTGTAAATCGTAATTAGACGATTTCCAGCAACCGTAATAAAATTTGTTCTTTCTGCTTAAAAAAAAAAAACGTACTTCAGGATGCAATAAACGTCAACTTTCGTACATTTGTATCCTTCTCAATTAGGTTTTCATTACATTGAATCCCAAATTTCACTTATTACCTTTGTCACATAGTTATTGATTTTTAGACCGAACGAGTAAAAAACTTATGTAAAATCCAAATTGCTGTCGATTGGATATCATTTTCGTATGCAAATAGAAAAAGTTTGAAGTCTTTATATGTGGTCACTTGCTTTTGAAAGAATGCAGCTAGCATGCATTGATGTTAATGGTCCCCTTGAAATTGATTAAACTAAAATCCAATTATAACATGAAGGTCTTTATAGTCCTTATCGTGATAATTTCTTATATATATGTACTAGTTTTTATCCCAGATAAGATTTGGTCCCTTCATGTTGCAACTATCATGCACTTTTAAACTCCTTATCAATTGTCACAGATATCTTTAATTTAATTTAATTTGTTTGTTTTTCCGTCGTTATTTAGAATGTCATTAGTGTCTAATTATACGGTCCCTTCAATTATGATAAAAACCAAGTTCAATCACGTAACCAATTTAGCTGATGTGGAATATGGTCCCTAATTCAACTAGGAATTAAATCCAGGTCTCCATTAAGAAACGTAACTGTCCTAGGAATAATTAAATTGAATATCTTGAATGATATTTTCTTTTTTAAAAAATTAAATAAACTAAGGCCGACGTCTTTTTTTTTTTTTTTTGTTTTTGGTGAGATCCTTCAATCGCATTGAAATTTGTATATAATTAAGTTCCTTTTTACCATTGTCATTGCTCCAATGTCTAAAACAAATGTAAGGACTTCTTATCCTAAATATGCATGACACTGCACAAATTTTGTAATTATTCAAAAAAATATATTATAATGGTTAAATCTTATCTTCTCATTTACTCCATTTATCCCGAATATATTTTCTAGTTTGAATTTTTATTTTTACTAGAAATTAAACTAACGTGACAATGCAAATCGGACCATAAATTTGGGTCAAAGGAAATATATTATTTGTACTACGCGATGAAAAAAAAAAAAAAATAGGCAGGAGAGACATGTATTCTTTGTTTGGAGAGAAGTTTCACAATTTTTATTTATTTAATTTTAACTAACTAAAATTTTAAGAATAATTAAATAAGATGCAGAAATCTTATTGTATCTTTGAATATTTTGGACAGATGATTGTGGGTTGTATTTTATGTGTTAATGTAAAAGCTGTTATGAGAATTTTACTTTAAGAAATAATTTTCAAAATATGGTCAATCATATCGTATTATAAAACATTTGGTTATGATATTATATCCTAACTGAAATAAATATGTTTAAAATTTATTTACTCTAGTTGAAAAAATCCATAAAAAAAGTAAAATTAAATAATTACAAAAAAAATATTGATTACACTCAGTTGCATTTGTTTTAAAGAATAACTAGTGACTTAGCACGGGCGTGACTCAGCCTGGACGTATTTCCGGGCACCAGCATGAACATGTCCTTTGATTAGGAAGGATCATTATACGGAACTTGTATAATTATAGTCTTAATTTGAAGGATTTAGTTCATTTGAATTTTGAAGTAAATGTAACATTGAAGTTGCAGCTAATGCTTGGATAAGGATATATCATAACCAATATTTTGAGGATTACTAAAAATTTATTTTTAATTTTCTTTGCCTTAATTTTACAAAGTGTAAGTCATAGTAATTTTGTGTTTTAGGCGGAAAAATATTGCATGCGTAGCTGTCACGTGTCTTTAGTGGCAATTGCTTTCAAGAGTTAAAAAGAGATGTACTTATCCAGCATATATATATATATATATTATATATGTTAATAATGTTCTAGTTAAAAAGAAAAAAATCAGTTACAATAAAAAAAAATTTAGTCCCCTATATATTAAAATTAGTATAACAATGTCCATAATTAGTACGGAATATCCATCTTCATCCATAATTGAATTTCTCCAGCCATGGACAAAACAAAAACAGTGCTTCCACAGTTTCCACAATGACAAAACAGTCATGGACAAAGTAAACAATCTACACTAATGGAAAAGCAAAGAGATAGAAAACACTGGAGGTACTCATTCTTCATCTGAATAACTTCCATCATATTTATCATCAGAGCTGCCACTGGAAGGACTTCCATGAGGACCAGAGTCTGAACCACTATCGTAAAGAGGGACCATCGGATGAAGATGAGATTGGCACAATGGCACAATAAACATAAGTTCATTCGCCTTGGTTTCTTTAAATAATTACTCCCTCTGGTTCTTATTATAAGACATTTTGATTTGTTCTACGTTTGTCCTAAGTTTCATTTAGGATTCTTTTAATCGAAATAAAAATCTTAAAAACATTTCCTAATAATTAGAGAACACAACAAATGTGAAAATATATTTTTAAGATTTTTTTTTAATTAAAAACGCATCTTAGGTGAAATCTAAAGTAAAATCAAAATGTCTTATAATAAGGACCAGAGAGAGTACTTACAAGCCTTCTGTTAATAATCCCAAATCAACCTTGTGTTGGTCCTCTGATTAAGAGCAATGGTTGCAGAATTACTTGCAACAATTATCAAGTTCTTCAAAGTATCAAAATTGAAATTTGAAGTAGAAAAATAAAAAAAATGTAACTGTCATTAATATATATGTTATTAAAAGTAAAAAAGGAATAAGAGTAAAATTGAAAAAATATATTTGATGTTACATTGAAATGATGTACAACAAAGTAAAAAAAATAAAATAAAATTGAATTCATCTTAACGTGATAGATAAAAGAAAACAGAGATAGTAATAAGGTAATTCCTTACTCGACTATATTAATATCAACAACCGACATCTATACTAACATAGAAACGTACTATTACTCAACACACATATATATGTTACACATATCATCACCTTGACGAAATTCACATAGTACAACCAATTTATTTAATCAGCACAAACCAAGACATAATCTAGCTAGACTCCACAGAAATCTTTGAGGATGTTTTGTGACTTCCGGCCCTCTTCAGTTGCATAGAAATTGAGCAAATCAACGTGAACGAATGGCTTGAACTGCAGGGGATTTTCATCATCCACAAATTCCTCAGGCACTTCCACCATTTTGCTTAGAAATGAGAATAACGCTATGGTGTATCTTGTTTCCTTCCCGCCCTCGATCAATGTGACTTTGTGGTTTGGTGATAACACCCTATTGTTACTCCATGCCTAATAATTAAAACACTCCAAAACAGATCATATTGTTATGAGTTTAAACAGTACTCAAAAAAAACAAAAAAAAAAAAAAGATTTGAAATTATATATAGTGATTTAATGAAATTGAAAACAACACCTGGCAAGCATCCCCAGCCATGACGACAAAGGATTTAGGAGGGAAATTAACGTTCATCCAAACACCATCCCTAGTTTTGATCTCCAGTCCGGAAACATGATTTTGATAAAGTATGGTCAAGAAACTCTTATCAGTGTGAGATGGAAAAGCCATGCTGGTCTCATTCATTTCTGGAGCCCTATATTTTAGGTATCGAAGAAGATAAGTGCTTGAATCTATGTGAGATTCACTATGCTTCTCTGCACCATAGCTCTCGAACAACATCCTTATCACCATTTCATCTAACTTCGCCACTGTTTTTGCAAATGCAAATGAAGTTTCTCTGCAACATTAAAAGGGGGTGGTGGAAACCAGAAAACATTACTCTAATGATAAGATGGATCGAAAATTTCAAAAAATAAGATAATAAAAAAACATGCTTAATAAATTACCTGAAAGATTTATTTCCTTGTGGCCACATGATATTGATGAAGCTATCAACTCCTTCCTCAGTGGTGGAATAATCAATGCCTAAGCCTTCATGAAGAGGGACGAAGGAAATTTGGCCAACATAGCCATGGTAAGGTTTTTCGTTGACATTTTTTATTTTTAGTTCAAGAGGAAGATCAAATAATTCGTCGGCTGCTTTAAAGATAGATTTGTCAAGTTCCGGCGATATTTTGTCATAAATGGCTATGAAACAGCCGTGGTATTCGAGGCCACGCCGGATATCGTTGCATGCCGACGACCAAGCCGGCGAGCCTGGCTTTAGGCCTTTTGTGAAGTCTACAACTAAAAGTTCCGGTGGGGTTATTGAACCCATTTTTCTTTTTCTTTTTTTTTTTTTCCTTAAAGAAAATTGTTGTTCAAGTAATTGAGGAACTTAAGTAGCTATATGTATATCCCAAAGGTAAGCAATTTTAGGCAGGGTTTTTATAGGGTTAATCTTGGTTTTCATGAGAAATTAAAAAACGGGTTTCTTTTCTTCAAAAAGTTACTAGTACATTTTTGTGACATCAATGATATCATTATTTTTATCTTTATTATTATCAATGTACTATCACATACGCAGGACAATCCAGGAATATCTTATCGATATGTTTAATTATTTGATCGTATATATACATTGTACAACTATCATTGATGATGGTCCATAATCGACCATAGTCAAACTTTTGTGGCCCTAAATCTTTGAAATCAATTAGCATCAATTATAAGAAAATTAATATAATGTGGCGCAGTTATAAGGGCAAATATGTTCTGTCTGAATATAATTCGCTTTCAAAAGTTTTGATTTTGAGTAAACGACAGATTTTTCAGATCAAACTTCACTCTCAATTCCAATCAAAGACAAATAATGATGATTCGACAAATATTGGATTTTTCAGATTAATGATCTAACTTTATTACTGATTCGAAATACATCTGCATATGATCTCGCATAAAGAGATATTGCCGAGGAAAAAGTTGTTTCACTCCTAACAGGGTAAAGAAAGTCTTATAACATAATCCTTCACCATTTCTTACATCACTTACTAAGATTTTGACAAATGGTCCCAACGATCTTATTTAATAATAAGTTGGAGTATTAGTAAAATTTTTAAAAAAGAAAGTAAGGATTGAACACAAAAATGTGAAAAAAAAAATTATATAATGATTTAAGAAGTGTTGTAAAATTTTGTTTTAGGAGATCCTTAACCTCCTAACAGAATACGTTATAAGTTAATTGTAGTTTGGTGCATCCTTGTTTTTTGCCTTTGGTTATAATATAGGAGGGCTGACAGCTGAATGAACACATTTATGAAATATATTTTCCTATTACATATAATGGTACCAATCATAATTTGACTCCTAATAATGTGTTTAGAGCCATTGTACATGGACCATGAGTTTATTGCTTTGATTTGTCGGCAATGTTAGGGTTATGGTTCATGATGTAATTCGCCGAAGAAGACCGGTCAAGCATCTAACTATTAATTGAAATCCATTATTGGTATATTCTCATCTGAAGATTAGATTAGGCTTTTTACAGGATGTGATGATTTGTTTGTCCAAATGATGGTTTTACGTTAATTTACCAGATAGTTTCTTTAACCAATATTCGAATAGAGATTTTTTCTTTGTTTTTTTTTTAATGAAACAGCAATTTCTAATTAATTGGTGTAAAGATAGATAAACGGAAAATGTTCCCGACAAACATTTTCAATAATCTTCTCCAAAATAAAACTGAGGATGCCGTCAAACTCTAAACACTTCTCTCAAAGACGTCTTTGCAAAATGCAGCATGGGAGGCACGCAAGTTACTGTTTAATTGTAGTACTCCCTCCGTCCCATAATTATTGTCCAATTTTACTAAAATGAAGGATTTTATTTTTTGTCAAACTTTATTATATTTTACCTTAAACAACCGGATATACCCCTACATAAGTAATTGTTTAACCACTAAAATTTTATGGATAATGTTTTTTTACTAAGGACAAATGTGTAACTTGATCCATAAAAAGTCAAATTGGACAATAATGTTTGGAGAAAATAGACAATAATTATGGGACGGAGGGAGTATTATTTTTCAGAAAATAAATATAACTTCAATATAGTTATACTAGAATCCGTCTAGTAATTTCGGTAGACAATATATTTTTGCCTGGATTAAAGACACGTAATCGAGCTTATATATTACTACCTTCATTTCCAATTATTTATGGTTTTAAGACAAACACATACGTACGTTAAGAAATACATGTTTGGAAATATAATTTTTATTTAATTATATTGGAGATATGCAAAAATATTAAATGACAAGTAAATAGTAAGTAGTTGTTATTGATATAACTAATCAAAAGTAGAGAATAGTAAAGATGAAATTGAAAAAAAATAAAAAATTTATTAATGTTATCTTGAGAATTGCGAGCGACAAATAAATTGATGGAATTTTCACACACGAAAATGAGAAATAATTTAAAATGGAGGTAGTATAATCATACTCCCTCTATTCCAAAATATATGTTGGAGTATTGAGAATACATCCCGAAATTTATTACACTTTTCACAGCGAGCAAAACACTAGACCAACATTAAACAACGTGCAAGTAAATGATGATCAAACACATATACACACTGAAATATTTTGTTTTCTTAAGAAACTAATTATCAATTTTTATTTTTATCAAGAAAGAAATGTCTCAAACGCCACAGAAATGTTTCAAAGCACACTCGAGCCTACGATTCTCCTCCTTGCTGAAGAAATCAAGGTATTCCAGGTTGCTAAATGGCTTGAATTGCAAAGGATGATCATCATCAGTAAACTCTTCTGGTGTTTTCACAATCCCTTCCAGAAAAGAGAATTGTGCAATTGAATATCTTGTTCCTTTCCCTTCCATAGTCACTCGATGGTGTGGAGATTGTATTCGGTTGTTGCTCCATCCCTATTCCCATCACCAAAAACATTCGTCAAATATATACCTTGAAGAAAAGAAAAAGAAGGAAAAAAAAAAAAAGGAAGAGAGAATTTGGAAGATAGGATTGGATTGATAAAAAATAAAAAGAACCAAAAATACTATCTTTGCTTAAAAAAAAATAGTCTAATGATAAATCTGAAAACTCAATGTGAACCATTGTTTTGGAACAGAAGGAATAAAAATCAAATAAAAGTCAGATGGTAAAGCTCACCATGATTGCATCTCCAGCCATGACAACAATAGCTGAAGGGGGAAGATCAACAGTGAACCATTCACCATCTTTGGCTTTTATCTCCAAACCATTTATTTGATTTTGATGAATTGTTGACATGAAGCTCTTGTCGGTGTGGGATACAAATCCCAATTTCTTCTCACCTGATTCTGTGTATCTCATAACTCGACTAAGATAACCAACCGACTTCAAGTGACACTCGTAGTATTTTTCCACTCCATAGGTTTCAAATATCATCCTCACCACAACTTGTTCTAATTTTGCTGCCAACTTCGTGTATGGAAGAACCTTCTCACTATAAAAATAATAATAATATTCCGAATAATGGAAAAGAAGTATTTAATCCAAATTATAGTTAGGGTAGGGTCTCATTACAAATTACTCTCTCTCCATATTACAAAATTAGTTTTTCTTTTGTTGAAAATGAAAAAAAAATAAAATAAAATACTTTTCTGGTGACATATGTATATATATAGTGACCATATATACTCTTCCATACACCTTGTAATTACAATAATGTATTCATATTCTGCAATTTACAATACGAGAATTCAGCTATTTGTTATAGATTTACTTCAGTTTACACCCTTTATGGAGCTTACTCATAAGTGATACATAATCATAACAAATTTGTACAAAGTGTGACATAATAAAATTCACTATTCAATGTAAGGAATAAGGACCAAATTAAATACGTACCAGAAGCTTGGATTTCCATTCGGCCACATAACATTAGCAAACTTGTCAATTCCTTGATATGAATTGGCATCATCAATGCCCATGCTTTCATAGAGGGGAAGAAATGGGATTTGGCCAACATAGCCATACAATGGTTTTGTAGATTTATTCTGAATTTTGGTTTCGGTAGGAAGATCAAAAAGTTCTTCTAAAGCATTGAAGATGGAATCATGAACATCTGAAGAAAGATCATCGTACACAGCTATGAAACAGCCATATTCTTCGAGGGCAGATACGACTTGTTTGCAAGCTTTTGACCATGATTCTGTGTCGGGTTTTAGGTTTTCTTTGGAGAACTCAATGGTGGGAAGTTTGTGATGAACTAGTGTTAGAGAACCCATTTGCTTATTTGAGCACAAATTAATGCAAAGAGAGTTCTAATACAAAGTAATGAATGGAGCTTGTAGTTTTATAGTTGTCATTTGCTGCTTCTTTTTTTTTTTTCCTTCAGTTTAATATGGTGTTTTTTCTTCCCCCTTCTAAACATGGGTAGAATTAGTGAATTGAATGACCATAATAATAAATACTCATTCCCATTGATTCCTTAACTCGACAAATTCCCAAAAAAAAAAAAATTAAAACAAGACAATGGTACCAATCAAGTGGTCTTCTCACTAATTATTTCTTTCATCCAAATATAATGTTATCTTTCTATTTGTCAGGGGAATCAATGTTACCATTCAAGATGCCAAAGAAAAAGTTAATAAGCTAAAAAGGTGTGTAAAAATCATCATTCCAAAATCTCGTGACCTAATAAGCCAAATGCGTGGCTCACAATTTTGTCCAAGCGTGCTAACATCATACAGTTGAGAATTAGAAATCAATCGGTATGGAAATTGCGATTGTCTGATAGGGAAAAAAGAAGGCGGCGATAAAAAAAAAAATAAGACAAATCACAATGGTTGTTAGCTTTGTTAGATGGCAAGAGACAAATATCCATGCAATTAGTAGCGTAATTAACTGGACATATATGATCTTTTCAGCACATATATCCGAAGTTAAGACAAGTTACAGTATTCCATGGACCACGGATGAGGCCATTTCTACTCTGTTTCCAGATGTAGCTCGCATCACAAAATTATTGTCTTGTTGAAATATTTTATAATTAATAAGATTATTTTTGTGGGGGGAGGGGGGCGGTCAATAAATATAGCTGCCGAGTTGTATGTAGTTACTGTTAAATTTGAAGTTCTCTGTGATTAAATTTTGTTAGAGTAGATCAGGAGATGATACGTTGAGCAGGCCAAATAAACAGATGAAAGAATTTCTAAATAATTTTGAAGTTCTATAATTAATGAATGAAGTATACTAATTGTTGCTTACAAACAAATGAATATAAAAAATAATAATAATAATAATAATAATAAACACAAAAGATTATCTCATTAGATGAGTTTGGAGGTAGAATGATGAAGGTAGCAGATGAAGTTGTTTCATACATTTCACCTCCTCTGGAAGTTGAATGATCTGATTGAGTAGGCAAAGGTGAAGGCAAAAACTACAGTCAATCCCAGAATGACACCAGCAACAACTCCAATGAAATCGTGTCTGAATCCAAAGTAACTTCTCAAGAAGTCTTTGATGGTTTCATTTGTGTCAAGCCGATCTTCCAAATCTCCCCATTGTGATGCAATCATTCCATACAATGTCCATGCAACAGGGCATCCCCAGTAATACCATCTCCACCACACAGGCATTCTCTGTTGTTATAATTATAAATAGAAAAAATAATAATTACCAAACCAAATGATAATGTGACATTGAATTGCTTAGTATATTTATTTTCCATTTTCATGATGATTTGGAAAAGAAACTCACGGGTCGGGGGACAATGAATCCCGAGAAGAGATTCCAGCCGGCGTAAAATGCAGAGGCGACGATGGCGGCAATGTTGTGATTAGGTGTGACAGCTACAGTCATCATGCCATAGAAGGTGAAGTACAATAGTGTGAAGTACATGAAAAACAGGTACCAAAAGAACTTGGCAACTGTCCATTCGAAGCCGATCATGGCATATGTGATTAGTCCATACACTGCGGCTTGTGTAAATATGTATGGAAGTTCAATGGCAACCTGAAAGTTCACACACAGTTTTCATTAGCAAATGTCTAAATGTCAGTTCCTTCAATTAATGTATGTTTTCTTGCAAAACAAATTTAGAAAAGCTAACCTGTCCGAAAGCGTATGGAATTGCAGAATACATTCCAGCTGCTCTTTCTCTGTAGAAAACTGTCCTTTCAACAGCTACAACAGGCTGTACAGAAGAGGAGTTTTGGACCCCGAGGAAAAGAACAGCAGCATACATAGAACCCATGGCATTGAAAAGATCTTGTTGAGTTTTCCTGGATTATAACACATTCCAAGATGGTTAATTAGTCTGGCTATATCAGAAATCTGTTTATTGCAAAATACATTTCAGGCTTGCTTGCATCAAGATTGCAAAGTTCAACACTTACTTCTTAGACCCGAGATCCCAGAACATTGTACCAAATGCAAGGGCAATGAAGGTGGTAAATACAAATCTCACTGCTGTATAAGGCGGATTTCGCCAGTATGACATGCGTTGTTTCCAGAGGCAAGCCATGCACTGGATAAAGAAAGATTGTGAATATTTGGTTGTGAAGTAGAGGTCTTTCGTTCCAGGGCGAGGCGTATCAAGCTCATGAATCAGTGCTTTGTTCCTCCTGAATTTCATTCCATAAATAAGTAAATCCACACTGTTTGACACTTTGATTATGATTCAAAAGAAAATAAGGGAAGTCAATGAGTGACTAATGAGAACACTGACGAGTATAAGTCTGAGTTTCTGTAAATTTCAGTAAAATCTACTCCCAATGCCAGTTCTTGTGAGGAAGCTGTGACCTCTAACATCCAGGTTGCTGGATTATAGCCATCTTTGATTTTACTTACTCCTTGGATTCCCTGCGGAATATTAGAGAAATCAAGGTGTAAGACTAAAATGTTGATAGAGTAGGGAAGCTGATTTCACTTTTGACCACTTCCATTTTTAGGAACATACCTCAAAGTAATTAATCAAATGGACAGAGTGATGGCCTAGTGGTCCAACATATATTTCTTCACCTCCTCTCTTCATCAGGAACAACTGCAAACATCCGGTTTTTTTTTTTTTTTATTATGATCATCAGGAAGTCCTATTGATCAAGATACAAGTTCTAAAACATCGTGAAATACAATTACCTCGTCAAAAGCTTCAAATATGTCGATGCTAGGCTGATGAATGGTGCATACAACGGTTCTTCCAGTGTCCACGGTATTCCTGATAGTTCTCATCACAATGGCAGCTGCTCTTGCATCTAGACCTGAAGTTGGCTCATCCATGAATATGATCGAAGGGTTCGCCACCAGCTCCACTGCAATGGTAAGTCTTTTGCGCTGCTCGGTTGATAGACCATTAACCCCAGGCAATCCCACTAGTGCATCTCTCAGTGGACCAAGTTCTACGAGTTCCATTACTTCCTCGACAAACATCTGCATATTACAATAACATCTTCAGAGATAATAATTGATCAAGATCAGTGTTGACTGTGGCCAGTTATTTGGTTGTTTCAAGGAAATGTTCAGAGATGATATGCTCACCTTCCTGGTTTTGGAATCAACTTCTTTGGGGAGACGGAGCCAAGCTGAGTAAACTAAGGACTCATAAACAGTTACATGAGGAGAATGGATGTCATTCTGCTCACAATATCCGGAAATTCTAGCAAAGGTATCTTGCTTTTTTGGATAGCCAGAAATTGTGATGTTGCCTTCAATATAACCACCAGTTTTCCTACCGGCTAGCACATCCATCAATGTTGTCTTACCAGCTCCACTAACACCCATCAAAGCAGTCAGAACACCAGGCCTAAATGCGCCGCTAACCCCTTTGAGGAGCACCAGTTTATCTCCATCAACACCCTGAGCTTTCATTTCCTGCACATTGTATCATTGAAGTTATGTTATATTAAGTATCAAAATCTAGTTATAGAAAATTTGCAATTAAACTGATAACTTTTCAATTACCTGCGGCATATCAACTGAGTATCTTATGTCATCAAAAGTGATTGAATGAGGTTCAAATGGAAGAATCATGCCCTTTTTCTTGTTCTCCTCTGACTCAACCTCAGCGTTAGCTGTACTCATGGAAGAAGATCCAGACACAACAACAGCAGCTCTACTTCCCTCTCCTCCATTTGTGTGTACAGAAACTTTTTCATCGTCTTCTGGTATAATAGCTTGAACCTTCTCAAAGGCTGTAAAATTTCCTCGTCAGTATCAGCATCTATACGCAAAACTATATCAAGGATTTAGGAAGAAGGATACTCACGTTTAAGATAAGTGAGAGCCAAAGTGAACATAATGTTGAACAGGAAAAGGAATCCAATATTTGCTCCAACTCCAATCCAGTACCAGGATGCTTCTGTAAAGAATCCTCGGCTTTTCATGATAGCAACTCCCAGTGTCTCTGTTGAATTTGGCATCAGCTGCAAAGGGGAGAAGAAATGAATGAGTTGCAAATTGGTTTCTCAAAAAAAAAAAAAAAAAATTGAAATCACCACATTAGTCACAAAGCATAGTTTCTTACAGCTTTCCAATTTTTTCCTGTGAATTCATTGACAATGATTGCAGTCTGTGCATACATCAATGATGAGGTCCAGTAACCCCAAATCCACCATTTCTTTATTTGTTCTGCATCATCCGGAATACAGAAAGTGCAGAATGAAGAAATAAGTCATGCATCAACTATGATGAAAAACACGTTGGATTCATCAATTTTACGCATGTATTTTACCTCTAGACAGGATGAAACCACCCAGGGTCAACAACATCAGCAATGAAAATGAACCAAATGTGTTAGCAATTATCATGTTCCTCCCAGCTGCCCCAATAAATCTAAATAATGCTGACGCCACCTGGTTTATAATTAACAGAATAAAGTACTGTTTGAATAACCTGCATCAGCGACAAAATCCTCACGAATTAACACCCTATACTCAGAAAGTAGCAGGAAAAAAGGTTTATCTTGAGAATTTTAGAATTTACCTTGCAGGACTGGGATCAAATCCAATCACATAGTAAGTGAGGAACACCCAAGCACCAACTTCAACAAATGTAATTGGTATCTTGAGAATCCATGCGGGTAGAGCATATGACCAGGCCGGGAAGAACCGGAGGTCTCTTTGCTTGAAGAACACAGGAAGCTTGTAAATTGTCATGGCCATTTCGGCAAATCCATTGAACATGATTTGAACAACCACATAAAATAGAGCACCAACATATATTAATCCATCGGTCACGTTATCTCTTGGCATTTTAGTTCTAAAGAACATTGTCATTCCAATAATAGCCATCAGAATCAGCTGAAAAAAAAAAAATGGACAAAATTAGCGTTAGTAGGTTCATTAGTAGTAAAAGATGGGCAAAAAGTTCAAAAAGTTACTCACTTGACAGAGTTTGAAGATGTAGACAAAGGAGTTTCTCTTCATCAAAAGGTATTCTCTAGCTGAGACAGCTTTCAAAATTTCTTTCTTGTTAACACCATACTTTTGAGTAGTCAAAGCAGCCGGATGACTTTTGCTCTTATCAAACGGGGTAGCAAGTTCATCTCCTAATCTTCTTCCAACATGAAATGATTGGAATGCCTCAGCAAATTCGCTAGCCGTGATAAATCTGTAGGGATCATCTTTTCGAGCCCAGTATTGCTGCTGATCTTTCTTAGAAGTAACCTACGCATGATTCAAAATCTGGTGAATTTACTGGGGAAAAGCAGACTTGAAAACCACAAATGGCATGCAGATACACTTACTTCTTGTAAAAAGTCAGCAACTCCTTTCCTGTTTGGGCATTTGAATCCCATGGACTCGAAAAACTCAAGAACATTTTCTCTGGGACCTTGGTAAACGATGATGCCATCAGATAAGAGAACAATGTCATCAAATAAATCATACGTCTCAGGAGCCGGCTGCAGGAGTGAAATGAATGCAGTTCCCTCCAAAATGTGCACAACTTGTTTCAGAGAATTCACAATTTGGAAAGTGGTGGAACTGTCTAATCCAGTTGATATCTCATCCATAAACAATACATTTGTAGGCCCAACAAGCATTTCACCTGTGAAATTTTTGATTGAATTTAATTCATCTGTTTGAAAGCTCTAAACAGTTCATCCCCTTGTTATGGAATCATTAGTATCTTTTATCTTTGTTTTACCTGTGGTGACACGCTTTCTTTGTCCTCCTGAGATTCCTCTTAACATTTCATCTCCCACCATTGTGTCAGCACAAACTTCCAGTCCCAAGATCTACATATCAAAATAAATATGTAAATACTTCTGCAGTTTTTGTGTTATTCGTGAAGCAAGACATGCATAGAGAGTAAATTAATTACCCGAAGAATATAATCCGTGACAACGTTTGCTTCTTGCCCTTCAGTAGCTGCAGACTGCAATAATTCACCCAAAATCAATGCAAAATATGGATATCAAAACCTCGAAAAATAAGAATCCATCATAATATTTGATCAAAATTTCAGCTCTATTCTAACCTTCATGAATATATCAATATCAGGATCAGGCTTAATATTTGCAGCTGCTTCTCTTCTTGACAACTCTGCTAACATCTCTGTATATTTTTGGAAAAAAAAAAAAAAAACAATCATCAATCTACTTAACTAATGTCTGATATTGTGATGAATTAAACTAGCCTGTGTACAATCAACTCTTAATTAACGATTAAACATATCTAGTCTTCGACTAACCATAACGAGATCCAACGCCTTGGCACCTGGCGGAAAATGCCAGAGTTTCTCTTACTGTCATTTCTCCAATGTGGAGATCATGTTGACTAACATATGCAGCAGTTCTCTCAGGCACAAATTCATTCATGTCGTGTCCATTGTATGTCACCCTTCCTGAAACCTAATTTGTAAATGGAAGCATTTCAGAAACTTGTCAGCAAGAAATTCCCATAGAAGGCTTGAAACCTTCAATGAAGAAGTTCCTGTCTGGTTTAGGATCTTCACCTTTAGAGCAGAATCAAGCTTTCCAGCCAAAGCCAACAACAGCGTTGTCTTCCCAGAACTTGGAGGACCTAAAAGCAACGTCATTCTGGAAGAAACAGAACATTAATGAAGTGAACCAATACGGGATAATTCAGAAATAACAAATGAAGATTCCGATTTCTCACCTGGAAGGTTTGATGATTCCACTAACTTCATGAAGAATGGTAAGTTGCTTCTTTCTACTTGGAAGGATATGGAGAGAGTTCAAGAAGCCCTTTTGGTTTGAGAAAATAAAAGAAAAATCAGTAATGAATTCGATCAGAATAAGTCTTCAATCTTTTAACCTATTACAAATCATGTGATATGAACAAAAAACTCTTAATTATTACCTCTATAATATTAGTACCGAAGTTAATGAAGGTAGGCAAAGCATTACTTCCAACATAAGCTTCTGCTTCAATATTCAGACGCTCAAATCTTACTTCTACCTTGGGCAGATCAATTCCAACTCTACAAATTCACGTAGAAAAACAAACCCATCAATAAAAATCCAATCTTGGGTGAACATGAACTTAATTAGTGCATAAATACCTATCAATTCTTTCCCTGAGCTTCAACAAGAACTTCTCATTATCTTCCTCTGCAACCTTCACCAATCTCTCAAGCAGAGTTTTTCTTTCTTGGAACCCAATATCTGTTATATCCACTTGAGTGGCCTGACCTTTTGATCCAAACAACAACCCTTTTCTGAGCCTATCAAAAGTAGGAAGCTTTTCAAGGGAAGCCCATTTCAAAGCTTCTTCATCATCTTCTTCTCTTGATGAATGTGAAAAAACTTCCATTCCTGTATTCCTCCATACAGAGCTACTCTTTGCTCTTAAACTACTACTTGCTCGTAAGCTGCTACTTGCTCGATACATATCCGCCTCCATCTTTTCCAAACCCAACCAATGTAAATTCAGACAATTCTCTCCTTCCTGACTTTGAATTAAGATGAACTCAAGGGATTAAAGGGCTGTGTGGAAAAGAATGGGTTTTTTTTTTTTTTTTGGTAAGATGGAATAATGAGGTTGGGAAGTATAAATACCGGCAGCAAAGTTGAATCCATGATCAAAGTCAGGCGGCTAAAAAACAGTATGTTCAAACTGATGCAGTACAAGGTTTTCTAGAATCAAACTAATAATTCAGTTCATGTTGTTATTGCATTATGTACGGTTTGGCGGGGGGGGGAGCTTGAATTGAACTTTAAAAATACTAAAAAAATACTTGTTTGACTTTTCAAAGAAAAGGTACGCAGGACGGAATCGAAAAACATATGATCTTAGTTTTTTCCGGCAAAAAAAAAAAGAAAAAAGAAAAAAGAAAAGGAAAACATGTGATCTTTGACTCATCTGGTTCGGAAAACAAAACACACAAGCAAGTTCCAATACGCCTTTGGTTGTTTTTTTTTTCTTGTTCATCAAGAAGTCCTTAATTAGCTAGCTGGCTTTCGTTGTTAATGCAGAGGCATTTTCTCATGAAGCTTTTGATTTCAAGCCTCTAGATGCAATGGAATAATTTTATGAGGTAGTCCCGAAATCAAAAGTCATATTTGTTACACTAACAACAAACATTAGTTCGTCATTTTGGAAACTAATCAGGCGTCAGAGTATAAGCTCTATTGATTACTTAAACTAATTTTTCGATTGGTCAAATATACATGTCTATGAACTTATTATTTTTTATAAAACAACATTGCTGTTATATGTTAACCCAACATAACAAATATAATAATGATTCCTTCTTTATCACATGAGTTTCTTTTTTGCAGCTCGATCTTTACAGCTTTTGCTGTTGTCTGTTACACAAAAGACAAAACACATTGTAATAAGTTCTTCTATTTAAAACTTAATCTCAACGGGGTCAGTCGAACTAGTGGTTTACTGTTAATTAAGCGACAAATAGACAGAAATTTGAGAATCATCGCCTTGGGCGTCAGGTTCATTACCTCAACGTCAAAGTTGAGAAAATAAACAAAAAATTGAGGTTCATCAATTTGTGCATCGGACTCATTTTCTCGATGCCAAAATTGATAAAAGAACAATGGCATCCAGATCTTTATCTCGACGCAAAAGTTGATGAATTGAAATTAGCAAAAAAAGGGAGGTTCCTTAACATAATTGTCGGGTTGAACATCTCTACGAATAAGTCGACAAAACAAAATAAACAAAATGTTAGATCGTCAAATTTGGCATCAAGTTTCATTGTCTCGATGCTAAAGTCAACTAACAAAACTAAACCAAAAAAAAGTGATATTCGTCGACTTGAGTGTCGGCCTCATTCGCTCGATTTCTAAGTCGACCATCAATAATAAACATAAAGGTGAGATTTGTTGACTTTATCGTTGGGTTCTTTATCTCGATGTTTTTAAGTGGACTAACAAAAAAACTAATGATGCATTTCATCGGTTTGGTCATCAAACTTTTTACTTCCTCCATCTCGAAATTATTATTCAATTTGAATTTTTATTTTTATTATTAAATATAATTAAAATAAAAAATCTAAACTGAACAATCATTTCTGGGACAAAGGGAATATATCATTGTCAACTTGTTGGGTAAGTTTTTTTTAATCTCGATCTCTAAATCGACAACGAATTTAAAGATAAATTAAAATTTGTCTGCTTACAAAATAATAAAGAAAGTTTTTAAGGAATATGTTTTTTGGTTTAATAAAGGAGGCCAAATCATAATAACTCACATATAGATTTCTAAAAACTGTGGTTAGCCATAAAATTTCTCTTTATAAATATACTTCAACTCCACATACCACTTCTTACTTAAAAGCTCCCCAACGACCTTAACCAAGCCCTCCATCGTTTCTTTAGCATTAGCAAAATATGAAAATAGCAATGACGTCAAATTCTTGGATTTTCTTTCCCTAGTTTTCACACCGAATTGGGATTACGTCATTACTAATAACTTGCTACCAAATTCCTAACTTACCTCTTATATTATTTTTTGAGCTTATCGTTGGTACGACGGACGTGACAAATAATTTTTTAATAAATATTGTAATTGCTTGTTCCCAAATACTAATTGTTATAGTTATCATCAATTATTTTTTCACCGGAAAGAGTGATAAGTTCAACTGTCTCAGTCCAAAAATGACAAATCATATCTGGAACAGGAAACAATTCACTTAATTGCCTTCAAATTTCTCCCAATAAACAGTAAATGTGACTTAACTTGAACAAGAGACCAGTGCAGCCGTGGCTGACTACTTGACTTCATGTTATCTTCTCTGGGCCAGGGCGGCTCACGGAGGCCTTGAAAATTATGAAATTATTATTAACTTTTGTGGTATAAGATTTATTATTTAATTCGTTAGAACATAAATTCGTTGATATAATGTTCCTATTAAAACTTTTGTAATTAATTTTTTTTAACTAATCGATTTTTATTTATTTTAAATAATTTTATAACCATTTTATAGATATGTAATATTCTGTTAACAAATTTTGGAGTCCCTAAAATGGGGAGCTAAAGCCTTAGTTTAGTGCATGAACAAGCCAGCCCATATCAAATGGCTTTTATTCACTTTCTTTTTCTTTTGTTTTTTTTTTTTTTTGTTTCTTTTTCAAAACTGTTCTTTGAGAATATGGAAACAAAACAATTAAAAATTACTAGTACTCATTGTCCCAAAATATTACTATCATCTATGTTATCATATTTTAATATAATAGATAAGAAAATTCATTTTGAGCGTATGTGATATTTGGTTTTATAGATTTAAGAATAAATTTTTGGGATGAAAAGAATATTTGAGAATCAACTAATCAGTTTTACAAAAATTAATATGATATTTGGTTTCATGTTTGATTTTTAATTTCTTCTTTTTTCAATCTAATTACATTAGCATGCATTTTCCTAGTGATTACAGGGTTTTAAAACAGATCTGTCATATCAGCGCACTGCTATTGATATTTATAAAATCACGTGTCCAACTTTTTCTCCAAAAATTCTTTTTAGAGTTGCATTGCATTATTGAAGAGATTATGGCATCTTCCGCCAATGAATCGGATAAAATAAATATCACCTGAGAAACTTCACCATAATGCAGTCATTTCTTGTCGATTGATTTGAAACCCGTAATGGTCTAAGATATAATTAGATAAATCAAAGAAAATTATATGCCCTCCGACACACGTAATTTTGGGAAGTAGAGACTTTTCTTGCTCGTGAAATTGTGACAATAAGAAGTGTATTTTATCCTTCTGTTTTTTCTTGTTGTAATTTTTTTCTCATCAACATATAATTTTATTTTATTTTTTATGTAACCAGTAATGGATTTCCATTTAATGAATTTTTTTTTAGAAAAATTTTTTTATTAAAATTACTGGAATTGGTTCAGCACCAATTGAGATACAAAATACGGATATTCACTCCCTTTTAACGGAATTGAATAGTAAGCTTTATCAACCAATTTGTACTCAAAAATTGACATGAGTGTCTCATCAATCGTCATGGTCATAAGGCAATAATGGAAAATGGGTAATATTAAGTGCCACCTATATATGTTCTATTCGATGCTCATAATATTAATTACTATATTTTCAACAAAGAATAAATAATAAATACTTAATCAAAATCGTGGTCATCAATCATTGATTAATTTTTCTAAGCGAAGTTGAGTTTCTAGATAAGAAGATTAATCATCTTGTAATTTTTCCTTTTCAACGAAAATTCTTCTTGTGCAGTAATTCGTTGCACTTGTTTTATTTGTTTTAAATATTGTGTTGAGAGGGGAAAAGGAGCTTTTTTTTTTTTTTGTCAAGAAATAGACTTTTTTTTAGACATAAAAAAAATATTGCTAGTTATGAGGTAACCTTGATTCGAGAATAATACATCATTAAGTAATCTATTTTCTATATTTGATGAGAGGTCGTTTTGTACTTCCCCTCTTCGTTCTAGAAGTGAGAAATGTTTATTTTCAAGAAGAAAGAAGAAAGAGAGAAAAATCAGTGGAGAATGATGATTGAAGAAGCAAAGATGGACTTGCTTCTCGAACAAGGGTAATGTTCCAACTCTTCGGACAGAAACTCGGCTTAATCCATATGAGTCAAAGACGTTGAAAAAGTACTACGAAAAAAAAGTCAACCAAATTTACCAAGAGATTCAGCTTCAAATTCAAAAATAAATTTCATCCTACAGTATTCCACCAATCACCATTGTTTCCATGAAGTTTCATTAGCTGTATTTGCTAAAAATGACCTGATGAATGTCTTCTTTCGGGAGGTCTCGAGTCTTACGCTTGACGCTTTATCAGTGTTCGTTACAAAATAAGAGTCACGTTTAGGAGTTTTTTGGGGATGAGTAAATAACTTAATTAGTTTTCTTGACAGCGGGAACAATACCATTTTCAACACAAACCAGAACTTGCAAATCAGCATCATGAATTCTAGTTGAGACAAACTGGCCAAACAAGATCAACATGAAAGCTTGAAACCAGTTAGCCTCTTACTAAATCTGAAACCAGTTAAAACAAGAGTACTCTCCATTTCATCTTTACAACACAGAAATTCAATCCAAGAGTTTTAACATCAAGATTGTAAATCAAAACTAAAAAAGCAAACTGATTCTTATCTTAGTAACTAAACCTGTTGGATCCCTGTGGTAGAAAACTGATGCAGCATCTGCATTTATTCCTTTCAGTCTTGATCACGCCGGTTCTCATTCGCTATAACTTCGTTAACTCCAGAGCTCAGCTCAGCTTCAAAAGATATGGAACTCAAGGAAGGCAGCCTCTCATAAACTTTGGAACCCAACCTCTCATACACTTTGGAAGCCCGGCTGCCACTAAGACTTCGACTTAACTCAGCATAATTCCATCGCTGCTGAACATAGACTACAACTGCTAGAAGAGCAGCAATGAAGGGGATGGCAATGTCGCCAAATTTTGAAAAGAAATTGCGTCGTGGATTGACAAACTCGTATTCATTCGAGAAGTATGGATTGGGAATGGGAGACTTCAGGAAGTCGTACAAATGGGGAAGCAGTCTCACTGCAGTGATTCCCATGTAATAGAACTTCCTGAGAGGTTTGCCATTTAACTTCCAGATATAGTTGCCAATGATCTGGGGAAGCAGGAAAAAGTCTTGAATGAGACCTAAATATTCCTCCAATTCAGTCTCCCATTCGCGTAGGGTTCGAGATTGGCCTGATGAATCTATGTACTTCTCAGACTGGAAAGACCTGTACTGGCTTGAGCTGAGGTAATGGACAAACAGAACAAGGATATATCCAAGGAAATGTATGATAGATGTCGGGATCAGTACTCGTTTGTCGCTTGGCACACGATGTGGTTCAAGAGGAGCCCTTGTCAACAATCTGATTCGTGATCTCCACACCTTTTGACATAGCCTCATAGTTAATGAAAAGGCTGCTAATACAAGAAGCTTGACCGTGTATTCAACAGCGCGTATCGCTTGACTCTTCTCGAGTCCATAGGGTTGATAGCTGTAAGGTTCTGAAGACATCTTTTCAAATATAGCTTCTGCACCAGTTATAAGCGGAATGCTATATCCCACACCTTGGATTCCAAGCATGACAAGCGAGATATAAGGGACAGATTCCAAATTAGCTCTAATGTAATAAATTTGGCTCAACAAGCAGGCGATCGCCAAAGAAAGTGTCAGAATGCGGAGTAGCCCTTCAACACCTCTACGAGAAAGGATATCTTCTCTTTGTTTCCGGTACATAACTGGAGAAGTTTGAAGCTTGATTGGTGTGAAATAAAGAGGATCGTCCTCATTTCTTTGGCTAGAAATGGAGATTGTAGCTGTTGGGTTCACTAACCATCTGGATGTAGTAGGAGGGTAAGACACAATTACTTCAACACGACAGTCCAATCCATCTTCAAGGTCCATGCTTTCATGAAGAGTTTTCCATGAAGCTTGAACGTCTCTACATCCAATCAGATACATTTTCCCCACTACTGGATGGTACAGTCCTTCCACAAAAATGACCGAGAAATTCTCATATAGTTTTCCAGTAAGACCAATTTGAGCAGAAACATTTATGAGGAGCTGTTTCTCTGAGTATTCAACATTGTCTCCAGTTGGATTCACCTTCTCCTCTCCGACAGGTAGCCCCTCTTGATACCAGGACCTCCCAAACATAGGACCAAGGGTCAGAATTTCCAATTGGAAATTACTTTCTGCAAAAAACGACTTCGGAGATGTATCTGGAAAGGCCAGTAAGTGGAGGGTGAGGTCTTCAGACAGAAGAGAATGGCTAACAAAGTCTGACTCTGCCTTGGTTAACTTTGGGAACTTGAGTAATGATTGCTTGACAATATCACCGAAGTTAAAGGGCTCACTTTTCTCCAGCATTACACCAGCTGCATCGATCTTTGAGTAGTTATAATGTGGAAGAGCTCCTGGGAGCTGATCCCACGACTCTCCAAGCCGAGCTAGCTTCTGGAAAGTTAAAGGAAAATATGATGTAGTGCTTTCATCAACACTGGATATGGTGCCCACTAAGATACTCCTTTGTTTTAAGGAGAATGAGAGGGGAATGTATAAGCAAATCCGATGATTGCAGTCACTGCGTTCACCATCAAGCCTTCCAAGGCAGCCAACCATGCAAACCTGTCCACTGGAAGACTTCCAGATTCCCTCAGCAGAAAGGGTCATGTTATTAAGATTCGATTTTTGTGATGCAAAGAACTTTTCCTCGGATGAAGGAAATGCTCTAAATACGGAAGATATCCGTCTGAAGCCATCTTCATCCGGCACAGACTCTTCTGCGCATCGGAAATCTTGAATAACAAGATTAATATCTCTGAAGCTATTAAACTCCTTATCCACTTTGAAGGGGCCTAACTTACTGCAGTATTCATCTGAGCCGTTGCACTTTGCGTTCGGCACAAACCTTAGCGCTTCTTGGCGAGTAAACTTCTCCAGGACCACACAAATATCCAGCCCTTTAAACACATCAATGGCACCATTCATCAGGTTATCTTTAAAAGGGTATGGATCGCATGCTCTGGACACTATTTCTTCAGAACCAAATTCATAGTTTGCAGAAACAGCCAACCATGAAGACATGCCAACTTCATCAAAGTATTTTGGTTCAGATTTCGGATGTAAGCTCTTCATGCTTCCTCGGATTCTTCTATTTAACAAGGTAAATGCTTTTGGATAACGGAGCACAAGTAGAATACGATCATCTTGAACCAGAGAAGGCCGGTTGTTACGACCAGATTGCATGATTCCTTCCCAAGGATCAGAAGAATCCAGGCCACGAGAAGGCCGCTTTGCATTCCCCAGCAAACACATCACTCTTTCTCCTCCATTTTTATCTGATTCAGCATAAAAACCTTGAAATAGAATAGTCTGGTGAGAATTACCAGGCCATATATCAAAATTACTACCCTCATATGGCATTTCCATAAACAAACCCTGAATTGTGGTGCCTATCACCATTGCACCATTCACAGCAACCCATTGATGGGGGCGATGAGAGCTGGAAACATCAGTAACCCAGAAAGATACTAAGTTTGATGGAGATCCAAGATCTGGTGGAGTACTGACAACTGAATCAGGTGAGCTATAGTTCGAAAAATCCCTGTTATCAAAGGGCAAAAAGGGAGCCTTGTTTGACTCCTGCCACCAATCTCCATTCAAGAAGGATAGCTCTTCTTTTAGGTTATAAACAATGTCATTAGCAGGTTTCACATCAGAAGCAAAAGGTAAAATAGATGAGCATTCTTTAGTCACCTCATTAATCCTATCATATTTAATAATCAAGGAATTTCCGCCTCTGGACCTAGTAGCAGTATACCCATCCACAAGGTATGAACTCGCATAACAAAAGCAAAGCAGAAACAGCAACAAACTCATCATCCAACCATAAACCGTGAAAGCCCTCATCTTTATAGCTGAAATCTACACGCACCCAAATTTCCTCTTTCCCTATTCCATTAGAGCATGAAAAGAAATTAGAGAAACCCAAAAGCACCACCACTACAGATACTATTGTCTTTGCAACATATATATCACACGAATTTGCAGTATTAAAGCACAAGTCAAGCAGTAGACATTTCAATTTAATGAAGAAAGAGCTCAGAAATAGAGAGTTCTTACTTTATGGCAGAATGCGGCAAGTTGTGCACTTTTTACAACAAATGCTAGTATCTCTGGTTCCTGAAGTGGGGTTTGTTCTTTAGTCCATTCTTCTTCAGAGCTGATTCAAACACAAATTAGTATGTACTTTGAACTGGCCTTGGTAGTTCTATTAGTACGAAGAAGAAGAGTGCTCAACTGATGGTGATGGGTGGTGAATCGGGTGATAGTGACTCTTGAAACTTGCAAGAGTTTGGTCAACCCATTCTTGGGTTCATCATGTGGCAACTGAAAGAACCGTTGACTTAAAACTAGCAGCTGAAGTTTCTAGGCAAATCACCTTAATTTCACCTTGTGGTTTAACCATGTTACCCACTGCCCAATACTTTAAAAATAACCTTTTCATGCCAATTTGAAGTTTTTCCAATTTCAATTTCAGCGAGTTGGTTGTTTTGGGGGTTTAGTGTCCAGTGACCTGTTCTAAAACTTTTTATAAAAAAAAAAAAACTATACATTAGTTCAGTTTTATACAATTCAAGATAGACTTAGAATCCAAATCAAAAGACTTTTTTTAGTACAATCCTACGTTTGGCATATTCTGACTTTGTAGGATAGGACTAAAAATGGATCAGAAGGAAGGCATGTAAAGTAATTCCGAAATACATAATATTGACAATATGAAATTTGAAATGATGCATAGTCTACAAGAAAAGGTTCTACAGCATTTTTGTATGAGTGAGGAAGGCTAATAAGCTTACATGATATTCGTCTGCGAAATGCAAAGTACTTATGTCATTGCAAATTTTCAGTATTAAATCACAGATTCACGATCATGAAATCTACTGAATGCAGAGTCATGAAGGATTACGCATTCACAGATACTAATGTCAACCGATATAAATCATGTGGCAATTTGATTATGATCAAGGAACGAGACCAGATTCTTCATCGCCAGAAACAGGTTTAGACTCCTTTCTGAAGATAGATGGCAAACCAGAACAATCCATCAGTCTCAGTTTCAACAGCAAGAACAACACAATGCCACAGCCAAAACCCAATGCTGCACTAGACCCAGTGAGTGATACAGCAGCACAAACCAACATCACAAAAGATTCTTCTTTTGTGTTCATATCCCTTGAAGCCATAGCCAGCTCTATCCCAGCAAATAACAACAGCACCCCTAAAATCCCTATGGGAAATTGGCTCAGAACTTTTACAAAATAGTTCCCAAATACCAATCCAATAATCAATTTCCCTAACCCCAGAAACACCACCGAAGCACCGCTCCGGCCCCCAAATCTGTACTGCCCGGCTAGTCCTCCAGCTCCATGGCACACCGGCATTGCCCCAAACCAACACCCGAACAAATTCATCACTCCAACACTCATAGAAACCCGTGTGGCTGAAACGTTCAATTCCGGAAACAAGTCTGTTGATAATTTACACACGGCAATCACCGAGTTCAATATAGACAAAGGAATCTGTGGAATTGCACCTCTCAGGAACCCAATTTTCCAATCCTCCCATGTGATTTTTAAGACATGAATCTTTGACGGGCCGAATTTAATCTGGTGAATAATTGAAGGGTCTCTCAAGAAACATAAAACTAAACCGAGTAGAAACACAATTAAAGCTGCCGGGATAGCAGACAAAATCCTCCGCCTCCGATTGATCCTAGTCGTAACAGTAACTTCATCATTTTCATCTTCATCTTCAACAACTCCACCATCCCCAGTAGTCAAAACAAGAAAGATCAAACCAAAAAGCGCAAGAATCATTCCATCAAGACCAAGCCAAGGGCGAGGGCTAGTAGTTTTGGTTGAAGTGGTGGCAGAAAAATCCTGATTGTACCGAATATATTTAATGGCAGAAAATGCAAAGGCAAGACCTTGAGAAAGCTGGACACCGCGAACAACGGGGAGAGGAATAAACCGGTAGAAAAACGACATAAGTCCGGTGATGCCAAGAATGAAAAGAGTTCCGGCAGTGCAGATTCCGGCCGCTGCAATTTGAGAAACAGTGAGATGGGGTGCTTCTGAAACGGCAACAGCGGCAATTGATTTCATGGGTTGAACGGGCATGGGAACGCCGAAGAGGATTCCGGTGGCTATGTTGTAAATTGCGGTGAAGATGAGGGTGGTGCTCAGATCAAGGTTGCAAACCAGAGTAAGTGCCAAGACGATCGGAATATAGGTACCCAAGTCGCCGACGGCTCCACTGAGCTCGGAGGACAGGGAAGTCTTGAGGCGGACAGTGGTTGACAAGGGGTGGAAGCTAAACACGTCGTTTCGCCACCATTGACGGCGGCGAAGGAGTGGGGTAGTTTGACCTGTTGTTGATTCGTCGGCCATCTTCTTCTGATCCCGCCGGGATTTGAACTCCGGTGATGGTTTTGTTTAAGTTGACTCCCGGATATGGCCACGGGTACGGGTCATTTGTTGGGTTATGATCGGTGAACTATTTAAAAAAGATTTAAAAGATTCCAATATTCTGTGAGATATTTTATTGGATGTGATTTTGGTAACACGAAAAGCCATACTGCAGCAGAAGGAGTTATTGCTATAGGCAAAATTGCCCCATGCTTGATGGAATGGTGATCGGACTTGGTAGGATTATTCGAGCCGGAATTCCACCGGTCGTAATCTGCATTTAATTGTAGGAAAATGATTGATTTGGGCTAACATAGTTCATTACCACCCACCCGTTACTGGTTTTTGCGATATCTCATTGAAACTGTATGTGTTAATCATGAATTTTAATCGTTCATTCTTTGATATGTACACGGTTTTATGGGTGAATGCAAGAAAATACATGTAAAATTGGTAGCAACATGTACCACTTTAGTGTATTATGTATACCTCTTTTCTTTGTTGGTTTTGGGATTCATCCAAAGGATGTTTGCCTTTTTGGCGTATAATCAGTGGAAGCAAAAGAACCTTTCTTGTTGCCTTTTGATACTATGTAGTTACAATGAGTTAATTGTTGAGTTCACAAAATCGTGTACTTCTTGTATCAACGTGTTTAATTCTTCTTATGTAAATGTATGGACATTGATGGGCATGTAATGTGCGATGTATTGAAGTTAAGAACTCCGCTAGTTTACAAATATAAGAAAAAAGAGTTCTAGTAGTTCTATTGTAAGTTTACACATGATCCTATATTAATTACATTTTCTTGCGACTTATTCCATTTACTTTTTATAATTTATATAATTTGTGTATATATATATATATATACACTATTTACAATCACTTTCGAACTTATTTATTTTAGGACTAAGAATTCACTTTTCCGGGTTAGGATTCATTTCGTTTAATTTTTATAAAAATCAAAGCAATAGTCAAATTTAATAAAATAAAATATTGCTACAAAAAATAAAATAAGAATATGAAAATTATCTACGTTGAATATATGTGATTGTGATATATGTATTAACATAAATTATATAATTTATAAGAAGTAAGTGGATTGTGTCACAGTGAATGTCACAAGAAAGTATCGCAGTGAGCTATTACCAAATAATTTGAAAGTTTTATCTCTAGAGTAATAATTGGTACAAGGAAAAATTACAAGGAAATTATCCCACCCATGCATTGTTAAAACTTTCAAAACATGGTTTATGCATTTAAGGTTAGGGCATAATTAAGATTTTGACATATTATTTTTTGTCATTTTTTCTTGTCATACTCCTTGTACCTATCACTACTCTTATCTTTAAGTATTACCAAGTAATTTGTTTTGAAGAAAATACTCAGATCCATTGGGTGGCATCTCCTTGTTTTAGTATTAAAATAAGAGTACTCTTAAAATAACCCTTAAATTCTATGCAAAAGATTACACTATATGCAAAAATTAATGAATCTTTGTTTTTAACGTTTTCAGCTTATCAAATTTTGAGAATCACAGTAATTAATTGTTCCCATGTGCGAAATTAGTTATGTTGAATAGGATTTGTTTGGCAGAATTTAAGTATTCTAGCTGGCATTGTATCCAAAAGAAATGGGAGGAGATTTTTATTGCTAGATTCTTATCTCACTTGCGTAATTAGAATATGACTTGATAAAAAATTTGCATATGTGTTGTATTTTAAGTCTTTTGGCCTCTTTTATTATACTTTAAAAAATAACTAGTGTTTATCCCGTGCGTTACACGATAAATACGCGACAGATATAAAATGTATTTCATAAGAAAATAAAAGATTTATTATTAATATTAACAAATTTTAATGTAGTTTAACTATTATAAACTGGATAAATTTGAAAAAATAATTAGATAAAAGTGGCAGACGACTGGAAAGTGTATGTAAAAATAATAAATAATAAATCAATGAAAATACAATCTAGAGTAAAATAAAAAAAAATTTGTGCGAGAGAATTACCAAAGCATGTTTTGAGAAGTTCGCATAGGTACTCCAAACTCATAAAGAGTTCTTGCATTGAATATATACAACCTGCTAGAAAAAAATATATGAAACAACTAATAATTTTCAGAATTAAACTGAAATTACACATGGTTATATTGAGTTGCAAGTCCCCGTTTAAATTAAATAGGCCGTGATTCTCAAATCATGTAGAAGATTTAAGATAGAAGTGATAAGGTTATTGAACTTTATTAGAGTTTTAAAATTTTTCGAATAAAAGTAATGCGAACCTGTCTAATTTGAAAAAAATGATAAATCATTTGCAAAATAATGTAAATAATTATTACGCTCTCATTCTACATATGACTAATCTCTTAGTGAATATCATATTGTATTTGTTTAAAAAAAAACACAATTATAATTATCTTTAAATTTTTTGTTAAGATTCTGTATAACCAAATATTTAAATTTTTTTGGAAGAGTATAATCGATATATATTGAAACTTTCCTTATCGGATTAGTTGTTCATTCTATCAAATATTTTTTTTTGAAAGTGGCTTATCATTAAAAAGTTGTTGCGAGAACTTAAAATCAGTGTTATCTTTTGCTATTAATATTTGGTATAATCATAAGTCAAATAGTAAAATAATAATCAATGTTATCTTTTTATCTCAAGTGAAGCTGTGAAATTGTTAGTAAGGAGGTTCCTGTTTCATAGGTTTCATATCTTTTCTATGAATTTCACCCTATTTCACTCCAAATAAGTGTGTTTGGTTCAGTTTTACTGGCCCACTTCTTTGGGTCTTCTTTCATTCCACACCAAATTGGTGGGTTTGGCTTAGCTTTAGCATAATTAATCAACAATATTTTTTTTTTTTATTTTCTTGCCTCATCTACCCTTCTTCTCTCTCGTATCTACAGACACCAGAAGCTCTTCTGTCTCTTCTTTCCATTTTTCTTTATAAGAACGATGTTTCATTTTCCTCCATGACCACCATCAACATAACAATTCCAGTTATCCTTTTTTTTTCATAATTTATTTTTCAAGAGAATCTCTTCTAAAATCAATTGAAATCACTTCTAATTATTTACTTATACAAATAAAATTGTTCGATTGTCAACTATGGTATAAACACGGTGCGGAGGCTCCGGTGACTTTGGGACTTGTTCACCAATTTAGTTTGATGATTTTCACATCTTCTATATGAATTTGAGATTTTTTTTTCCTTTTGTTTCGATTTTGCGTTGATGATTAAGTCTGTAGATTGGAATAAAAATTAGATTTTTGGTGTAGATTCATTGTTTTTTGTTTTAATCTTCTTTCCTCTTTTTCTGTGTTACTTGGATCCAGCAAAATTGGATGTGAATTGATTTTTTGTTCAAGTTTGGGTTTCTACAGTTATAGTTGAGACGAAGGTTGGCGGTGCGGCAATAAGGGGAGGTGTTGGGGATGGGGTAGAAAGTTAGGGTCAAAGATGAGGATAAATTTGTAATTTTTATTCCATTCCAAATTTTGTTTACATATGAATCAAGTTTTGATACCAATTGATATTTCTATGCTATGAATCTCATAGAAAGTTTATGAATCCCATTGAAAACTATCACACTTTTTAGTGAACCAGGCACCTCCTAAATAACGGTAAAATCTAATTTATTTTTTTTTACAACCAACTTAATTGAGCTTATAATTTTATGCCTAATCATCATTTTCCATACTCTAAAATATATATATATATATATATATAGATTAAAAGAAATTCTCTCTTTCTCTCTCTCATTTTTTTTTTTTTTTTGTAGCCTTCGCATTAAGACATGATATCGAATATCTATGTATTATAACTGACGTACTTTAATTTCTTCCTTTAGCCAATTATAAAATCATCATTACCACTCCAAAAGATTTGTGAAGGACAATTATCTTATGGATGGATGTAACTGTAACAGAGTTGCATTATTCGACTTTTCTTCTTTTCTTTTTTGAAATCGTCCTATTACCTTTTTGTATTCAAGGATCATTTTGTGCCATTTTTTTAATTTTCCTATTTTATTCTGATAGCTCTTTATGATAATAATTAGTACTATTAAATTAAATCTTCAAGTAATTGGTTAAGGACTATGGTTCTTCTTCTTCCTTTGGTGGCTAGCGTTTAGAATTCAAAAAACCCCAAACTCTACCTGATTGATACTATAAAGGTATAAATACAAAAAGATATTGGAGCTAAGCAGTTTTAAAATACCCCATAATTTGATAGGATGACTATTTGGACTTTGGAGTTAACCGGTATTGATGTTGAAGCCATTCACTTCATATTTCCCACACTCCTTCTATTCCTAAAACATAGTGCACATTATATTTCCTAGGATGGAGGAAAAAATATTTGTTTTTTAGTTACAAAAATTTATTTGAGAACTGTAGTTGCATATTCGAACTGTTTTTTGCATTTGATATTTGTATTTTTAGACACCGATTCTCCCTAATTTATTTTTCTTATTGTAGGTTATTGTATCATTTACTTTATTTATACCGTAAATATATCTCATCATGTAACTTGTAAATTTTAAATTTTGAAATTTGTGATTTAGATGCCGATTATTTGTATAAAATACTAGAAAAGTGTCTTATATTTTGCACATTGCTTTCTATAAAGAATGCAATTTTCACATTTTAGTTTATAAATTATATTACACGCGAAGCGCGTTGGATCCTACTATTATCTAAAGCACAACTTTGTTTCGTCGTCGTCTCCTCACCAGCGGCTCTATTTCTTTCTCTCTTTTTTTTGCCATTTTTGGTATAAAAAAAAAAAGAAGAAGTGGTAGTCATTGACAAGTGACAGCATCTTAACCATTAATAAGATATCTTCTCTTGATAATGGTGGGTGTTTAGGCCCACATCATTTACCTAACTTAAAAAATAAATTTATATAACATATTTACAAAATTTATGCTTTCTTTGTATTTGTTTAACAATTTTAATGCTTAAAAATTCTGAATTTTCTATTAAATTACTTCTATTAAGCTTAATTGAAAAAAATTTAGTGCTTATTAAATGAATATTAATAAAATAAAAGATAAAAAGTTTCACCGTGTATGAACTAAAATGTGTGCAATTTCTAACTATCGAATAGTGCTTGATTCACTAGATTTTAAATTATTCCAATCGATTTTGATGACACTACATATCGGTAGTAGGACCCGAAACAAAATTTAAGAAGATATCATTTCAAAATGCAAATATAGCCGAAGAAATTGAAAATTTACAATTGTTGGTATTTTTTAATGTCCAAAAACCACTATTTTTTACTCACCCATTTTACATAGTCAAAACAACCCGATCAAAAAATGATGTAATTTTATCTCTCTTTTATTTGTTTATGATTCTCTTACTTTTTAAAATGGTTTTTTAATGAATAATGTAGATAAAAATTAAAAGAAATGGTTTTTTAAATTAATTTATTTCACTGATCTAATGTGATAATGATTAGATAAAAAAATATAAAAATATTAATAAATATAGTTTAATCCACACAATTAATCTTTTATAATTTTTTAATTAGTACCAAAATATATATATATATATATATAAAATTGCTAACATGTAAAATTGATAGTCAACAGCATGTGTTGCATTAGTGTATTCCTCTTTTTTAAAAGAAAATAAAAAATAAAAATAATGTAGTCCTCTTTTCTTGGTTGGTTTTGCGGAAAATTCAATGGTGGATAGAAGGATGTTTGCCTTTTTGGTGTATAATTAGTGGAAGCAAAAGAACCTTTCTTATGCCTTTCGATGCAACATATTTCAATGAGGTTTGTTGAGTTCAAATTAACCATCATTGAGACAAATATCACATTGCTTTTCCTCCTAATTTAACTTTAACCCACAAAAAGCCAAAAAGGTCTACACAACTCACTTTAAATCCTAGATTTACCTTGATCTTGTCTAATAATTATGCACTTACATTACATAGAGTAGTAAAATAAGTAATACTAGACACTTACATTAGTGAAAAAAGTTACTCCCTCCATTCCAAAACAAGTGTCGTCCTACACTTTGCACATAGTTTAAGAAATTCTTAAATAGGGTGATAAAATTACTTGAATATCCTCAACCAACCCCATTATAAAATTGTCCACCAATAGCATCAACTCTTTTGAGGGTAATTTTGGAAACTTTTGACAAAAAGTGCATTGAAATGTGAGACCGACACTTATTTTGGAATTTTTACATTTTGTTAAAACGACACTTATTTTGTAATGGAGGGAGTAACTAATTGGAGTACTGCATTATAAAAGTGGGATGTGGAGCAATGATAAACAGATTAGCCTTGTGTGGACTGGAAAAAAAGTTATCAATCTGGTCAAATGGGTTCACAATTTATTAATGATTGAAGACTTTAAGGAGCCAAAAAAAAAATTAAAAAAAATCATAAACCTAAACGGTAAGTATATCATCTGACGGATCCACATTATTAAATTCGACCCGTTACGCCCCGTGGGGCAGCAGCGTAATGTTGTAGCCGTTAAACAAGTTATTAAGAACAACTTTTTTCAAACAACAAAAAAAAAAAAACCCAACTCGACCGTTGAGCGTTTTATTTTTGCTCCATCAAGAAAAAAACCCATTTCCGCTCCTTAAGGCAGTGTATTTTTTGCTGCTGAAATCTTCATCGCCGGGAGGTTTTCTTAAGTCAGAAAATGGCCGCGGATCTCGTGTTTACGGAGGAAGAAATTGCGGTTGACGGAGCTCTTGGGTACCCTAAAGCCTTTGCCAAGCTCTGTAAAGACAGGAGTTTTAGCACCCACTGCCATGGACCTCCGCTCACTTTCACCCCTTATGCTCTGAATCAACAAGAGGTAAATTCAACAACCCAAAAAGCTCAAATTTTTCAAATCTAATTTGGATGTCTGTTAAAGTTAAAGGAAAACCCAGATGAAATCCAACAAAAGCAAACCTGTTTATTTCTTGGGTTGAAGATTTTTCTATGGTTTTCCGGGATATTATTCTGTTTCAAGATTAGGCCTTTTTTCACATTGAATATTGGAAAAATTTTTAGTTATTATTTTGGATCGAGGATTACTCCGAGACTCCAAGTAATTATGATTAGATTGGTGGCTTTCAGTCTGATGTATTGTGTGCAATTGATGGAATTACTATAAATGAATATACTGGTTCTGGCCTTTGGGAACATTTATGTACTGGAGCTAGAAGTTAACTTTTATTGTGTTGGACATTTTTGCATTGCTCCGGGGTCAAGCGTAAATTTAAATTTGTATATAAGTTTAAAATGAAACTGGGTTCAGAGATGGTGCTTATTTACAATTGTTAAAGCTGTAATTGATCTTTGAAACATGTAGTTGATGTCGTCAATGGTATTTTGCACTAACAGGTTCAAAGGGCGCAGGAAGCAGACGGATTATTCCCGATAATCGACTTGAATGCAAAACCGACGACCAAACCAAAGATTTTTGGAAGTGTCCTGTGGAAACAACTCAATCACCTTGGGTAAAGACAGTAACTTCCCTGTACAATGAATTTTCTGATTAATCCGATAGAGTGGTTCACTCACACTTCTGTAAATTGACATCCATTTTCCAGAAATGCTGGCTTTGATCCAGAAAAGTTTCGTGTAGATCCATATGGGAATGTTCTTTACTATCATGCTGATGCTGCTTCACCTCTTGCTTGGGATATTGACCATTGGTTTCCTTGCTCCAGTAATGCTCTAGTCGCTCTATATTTCTTTTACAATTCAGAATATCTTTCTATACTGGTGAATTAAAGGAGCTGAATTCTAATTGGCAAAATATTGCAGGAGGGGGTTTAACTGTAGTGAGCAATTTAAGGATTATACAGTGGCAAGTCTACAAGAAGAAGAACAATCAACTGGAATTCCTCATTCCCTGGTGGGATCTCCAAGTGGGAGTATCCATAAACCAATTCTTGTCCATATTTGCCTCGTCGAATTCTGATTTCAGGTTTGCTTCTATTTGCTGCTAATTGTCAGAATTACAAAGATTGTAGTCAGTTGCTTGCATATATAATTATGTGTTACGAACTACAATGTTCCAGGAGGAGAGCGTTCTCGTGGCTGTTTTCTGCTGGTGAAAGCGAGGAACTGAATGCTCGTCAGACTGTTGATTCACATGCGTTTCCTCGACCCTTTGTTGAATCTTCTCAGAAAATTGGTCTGGCCCCAGCTGCCATTGTTCTATCTCGTAGAGGATCTACTGATGCTTCCTCAGTGCTCAGATCGCTGGATATGAACAAGAAACCAAGATCAAGCACTCCCATTATTGGTTAGTAAATTAAGGGGGAATGTCTACTTGTAACTGTCTTCTTGATTGCTAATGTTATGCTACCACGAGTTTAGGGAGTTCGACAAATTGTGCGAGTTATTTGTTTACATTTTTCACTTATGTTCTCCTCATTTTGGATTTGACAGCTGCAAGAAAAGTGAAACCTGGTTCCATAGAAAATGATGATCCAGACATGGTTAGCAACCCTTATCAGGCCATTGTCATAGCCAGGAATTCTTTGAGGCAGAGAGAAGAAACAGCAAAGATGCAGACTGAAATACAGAAATTAGATATGGAAGCTGATGAACTGAGGCAGAAGGCTGAGGATGAAAAAGCTACAATCCAAAACTTGGAACTGGTGCTAATGAAAAGAAAAAGAAAAGCTGAAAAGTGTCGACGCCTTGCAGAAGCGCAATCCTCGTACAGATCAATGCTAGAGAAGATGATTCGAGATGCCATGCACCAGTAAGAATCATTGTTTGAACACCAAACTTACGGAGTTAGAGCATTCGTCGTAAAATTTTCAATTAACTTTAACTCTTTGGTGGCTCTCTTGCAGGAGTGTAGTTTATAAAGAACAAGTCAGGCTAAATCAGGCGGCAGCAAGTGCCCTTATGGCTACGCTTGAAGCTCAGAAAGCAATCTGTGATTCATCAGAGAGAGAACTTCACAAGAAATTCAAACAAAGGGATGAGCTCGAAAAACTAGTAACACCCAACTTGAACAAGACAAGGAAGAGGTCGAGAACGGATGTCTCCCTTACTGAAGAACCACTTCAAGAGATGGTTTTGTATTCGCCAGAAGCCAATGGCAAGACCAAAATGGATCTGGAAATGAATGATTATTTGTTAGACGAGAATGCCTCATACATGCAGAGACTGAAGTCCAAATATCCTTCTCACAAACAACTTAGAAAGTTTTTGGAGGAGGAGCAGAAAGTATCAGATGTTGAGCCCTCATCTTTTAAGGATGAAATTGAAGAAGTACAAGAGAACGAAAGACCAAGTTTAAGAACCAGTTCTGTAAAACCTGGAGATTCTAGCATGGACATTACTACGGCAGAAGGTGACAAAGTTATTGATCGAGAACTTGATATGCCGGACATCAAGGAGAATGGCATATGCAACATCCGGTTTCCAGCCTATGATGAACCAGAAGAAGAAGAGGATGAAGAGAGCCGAAAGCAACGTGGTAAAGGAAATGTTGAAAAATGGCTTCAGATACTGTTAAAGGAGAATGGGGAAGGAGGAGATGATGATGCTACTGCAGATCAAGAAAATCTAAATCCAAATGAAGCAGTTAACAAAACAGATGAAATTATTGCCAAGCTAGATCATGTGTATCCACTGAAGGAAATCAGGATTTCCAAAGCCCAACAACAGCAGGACCTAGAGACTGCAGATCAGCTTGACAATCAGCAACTAATCCCTGTTAAAGGTATTAGTAAGAGGAAAGATGAGAGTGCTCATGTGGAAGCCAGAAAGTCATTTTCAAACCACGGACTGAAGGTAGGTCTCGGAAAGAAAGAAATGCTTGAGCTGAAATGCAGAGACACGCCCATAAGGAACCCTCCATATAAAATAAAACCAGAGAAAAAAGTCGCAGATCATCAGAAAGAAAACTGTACCCCTGGATTAGAAAACCATTTAGGCAATGAAAAGAAGGAAAAGGAACTTGTTAGGTCAGATAGTTTCAGAGCATTCAGGCGCATTCCATCGTCTCCATCTCTGATTCTGAGCGGTATGAAGAAGAGGGTAGATTGTATAGGGAAGAAGCCTTTGGTCATGGATGATGAGGCAGATGGTGACGAGAATTACACAGGTCAAAACAACATTCTCAAGTCCACAATCAAGACAATCAAGAGAGCTGTGAAAATTTAGGCTTCAACTTACCAAGTTGATACACTGTACTTGTATTATTCTTTCTATTCTTTCTATTTGTTGCTTCAGAGCTTTAAAGGTAAGCACTCCTATAGGAAAATTGTGTGTTTGTCAGTTTCGAGCTGTATTGATTGATAGTTGATACACTCTTTATGTGCTGTATGTTATGTGAGATGTGTAGTAATAACAGCATGTTGTTTGTTTCATATGAGAAAAGCCTTCTAAATAGTCTGCTGTACTCTGGAACCCAAACAACAAATGCTTGAACACTGCGCGTCAAACTAAGAAAAAGAGGCCATCATGTCACGTTATAAAACATCTCACTGGAGCCAATTTTGCCTCTGCTTGCATCTAGTTATGAATATGATGATACTAAATAAAAAACAGCTAGCAACCAAAGAATACATATATAGGGATTCAATTGCAGAAGAGGCTAGATTACCATACCAATGAACCATCGCAAACTTACATTAAGAGCTGAAAATAAAATGCTGAAGTAGCTGAACTGTAATCAATAAAAAGCCAGCTCCAAATCTAAATTTCAAGTAAAGCTAACAACACCTAAGGAACTCGTGTTGAGAATCAAATCCCGAAAGGCATTACATATTGAACCGGGCATTGAGAATCAAATCCTAAAGTTGCATAGTGCTCAGGTGCAGAAATTAAACACTTTAAGGAGATTATATTCTCTTCATAATAGCACCGAACAAATCGAGACCAATTGACATGTTTGGGGAATGATGGACCTGCTTCAATTGAAATCTCTTGTGCCTGTGTCTCCCTCTTCATTGGATCAAACAAGTATAATGAAGCTGGAAAGTTATCAGGATGAGATATTAACACTTTCCCATTGGGAAGTATTTCCTCAAAGCAAACAGTGGTAAATGCTTGAGATGGTTGAACAAATAAATCCTCCTTAACCCAAACATTATCCACTACTTTCCTTGCGGGATTTCGCCTGTAAATGTGACGCACAACTGATCCTTGTCTCATTCCACTCTTGCCAATAAACGGATACATCATAGCCAGAGGGCCAAATTTGGGAAGATGATATTTGTTACTAAGATCCGGTGCCATTAACCGAATGAACCCGAAAGTCTCCTTATGAAGATGACATACAATCAAAAATTGATCCCGGACTTCAGTTACGGCCCCATTGTAATTGTTCCACCAGTAAAGAACTCCATCTGTGTAGCCAACTCGAGACATAGCCACCTGAGTAAATCCAAAACGAATATCTCTCCAGGATGGATCCAATCCAATTGTCAGAATCTTACACTTCCAAAGACCTTCCGTGATGGGGACAGGGTGTAACCAGAGCAACTTGAACCGTTTAGCAGTGGGATCGAATCCAAAGTAGTACCTACCACGTCCGTCCTCATCTCTTAAGCTCGGGTGTCTCTTTTTTTTTTGGTGAAAGCTCGGGGTTTCATTCTTTCGCGCGTGGCAATATTGTACAGCCATGATTGATTTTCAATATAAATACAAACCAGGCCATTAACAATGTTTGTAACACGCCATCCCTTCTTAAGGATGATGAAGTTAGAAAAGTGACTGCTGGGACCGACAAGGGGAGAGAAGTAGACATTAGTGCTGTGGGAGGAGAAGCCATTTAAATTTTGTTCATAGGATAGAAGACCTCGTGAGCCGCCACCGTAGACTTTGGCAAAGGCTGGATCATTGATAATGGAATACCAAGTCACAGACACGCCCTTGAATCGCATCAGGGATTTCACAGGGAGCAATTTCAGGATTTCCCATTGTAATTGCTCTGGGAGTACTTCTGAATCCTCTGCCCTGAATCTCTTATTTGACCTGGTTGGCAATACTACAGGCATTCTAGTGCTGGTAACAAAAAAAAAAACAAACAGTTTGAAATCAAGAAAACCTGGGGCTAAAAGTATAATAAAAACCTTGGCAAATCAGAAACTATGTATTCATCAAGAGCTGAATCAGACATTATAATAATACTACTACTTTTGTCGTCTGTCCAATAAGTTCACAATCATTCAAAGTCCACAATGATGTGAAAACCGATACTTAAATTTGTCACAGTTTACAGTTCGTATGAAACCCTACGAATGCAACTAGAAAAGTGCTTGTACATTGAATCGAGAAAAAAAAAAAAGAAAAGAAAAGAAAAGTGCTTGTACATATTGATTAATACACAAATCTTTTTGCCACTTCTGCAACCAAAAAAAAAAACAAAAGAATGGTATCTGGAAGTATACCTTTCCGCAGATGACCCCAAATTCTTCTCGGAAACTTCGTTCGGGGTCGATGCCATGGTTGTTTTGTACACGCGTAGCCTTTGATTCTGTTCTGCGGGGAACCCTAATTCCCTCAGCCTCTATAGAGAGATTAAGATGTCTACTAAAAGATGACTCCTAGTAAAAAAAAGAATAATCCCTAAGGCTTTGTTTGTTTCCTTTTTTATATGGTATTTCAAATTAAATTATTATTAACTGTTTCATCCCAACAAAACTTTTTATATTTCCAATACACTTTTTTACATTACCAATACAAAAAACAACTAAAAATACACACTAAAAAAACGAAACAAACAAACCCTAAATTTTCTCCAACTTATTTTGAATCAGTACAACAGAGGGATATATTTGATGCAAGAATATGATGGTGAATAAATCTGATGATGATACTCCTTTCAGTCTCACAATAACTACCAATTAATAATCGAAAAAGTAATTCTGAAAAACTACCACTACTCGTTAGCAAATGATTACCAATGATCAGCGATGAAGAACGACTTTATGTTTCTCTTTGACCTTCTGTTTTTTTTTTTTTTTTTGGTTACTGTCGACACTTAAGGATGGGTTATTATATAAGAACACAAACCCCGGGGGCAAAACGTAAATAACCCATCTATATATATAGGAGGGGAATTCCGGCTCTCCGCAAACGAAAACAAAAAGGCGAAGAAAACTTGTGGAAAATCGGCGAGAATTTTCTTAGTTTTCTTCTTCTTTTCTCAGATTTAGGGACTCTGGTGCTATTTGCTTCTTATTATTTGATTGTATATTCATGTTGTTACAAGTAGGGCTAGGATATGTGTAATTCGATATTGGTCGGAAGGATTAGGGCTAGCTCCATACATCTGGTGTGCTGCTTTGACATTAATTTCATCCAACTGATTTGTTCGCTTTCCTCCAGTTAGATCTCCATATCATCAACTCTCGTCGACTTCCCTTCCTCCTTAGGTAGAATCGATGTCGTTTTATATTCTTGTGTGTGTTAGGTCTTGTCTTGCTTGAATTCTCTGACAACATATATATTTGTAATAATTCGATGTAAATTTTTCTCCCTAGAGCTCGTTAACAAAAAAACTATGCCGCCGACGACCACCGCGGAAGAACATAAACGTAAGCGGCGGGATGCTGATGATGATGGGGGTGAAGCACAGGTTCAGGATGGTGTTGTTGTGGGTGAAGAAGCACGTAAGGAGCAGATTTGGCGTTGTGGGGCTTGTCAGCTTGACATGACGGAGGAATCCTCCTTTGTCCATCATATGCATTTACATCTATCTGCCGTTTCGAGGCTTAATAGTGCCCAGGAGGTGAGGAAGCTGATGCAACAACAAAAAGCCAAGGGATCAAAGGAAGAAGGCCATGTAAGTCCCCTCCATCATAATCATCATCATCATCATCTTTTGTATATGTCAAGAAACTGTATCACTTGGACCATAAGGGAAAATGGAAGGTGTATACGGGGGGATCTTACTCCAAAGAGCCAATAATATGTGGCACTGGGTCTGGTGCACGACATGCTGTATCTCGCGTGGAATCCGAGTAAGCAAGCCTCCTTGTTTAGTTTTATTATTTGTATTCCTCCTATGAGATTCCTTTTAGCCACCTCAACACTTGTGATGCTTGAAAACATGGCGGTCGTCCAATGCATTGCTTTATAATTTGAAGGAGGTGATACGTTTTTTCAATCAGAACTAATTTAATTTGGCTTTAAATTGTGCTCTGGTTATAGGTTTCGCTACCATATGACTATTGGAGAAGCTGCAAAGTCGGCAAAAAAAGCAATCTGTTGGGCTGCATATGGAGCTTCGGAATGTGGCGATTACGTGAGCGTTTACCACGTAGCTAGGTATAGGTGGAGTAAGGTCATCTCCGGCGACAATATGATTGAGTGGCAAAAGGCCCATATCCGACGCGACAAAGATGGTGAATTCCCCATGGTGACCATGTAAGGAGCTAGAACGGCAAAAAGCAGTAGGGTTCATCAGCCGCATTTATCACAACACTATGCTCTTTGTTGCACTTTGAACAAATAAGGAATATCTTCTTGATTGTCATTGTAATATCTTATGTGTGTTGTTCTAGGACAGTATAGGGATTGAGTGTGAATTTATTATGTTGTTTTTTCTTAGTTAAGACATTAGGACAGACCTGATGTTTTTGTGGAGTGCTGAATGAAATAGATCGGTCGTTCGAGTTTGTTTAAGTTACATGATGAACCAAAAATGGATTATCTTATAGATGTGAAAGAAACATAAACTAATGTTTAAGGTGTAAACTATGCATGGTTTACCTTTAATTTTATTTCATTTGCTTTACACGAGGCAAAAATTTAAGGTCTTTAACTATTAGAGTAGACGTATAAGTAAGCATAATGATATCATGTTCAAGTCAAGTTTGGACTTGACTTTCGGTTGCTGAGCATCTAAACCACATGACCCCTACCTTGTGTTCTTCACACCTGAAATCTGACTTTATTGTTATTTTGATGGCGTTTCATCGCGGGCTCTAGTGTTCTAGATTAATAAAAACTCCTTCAATAATAATGGTGATGTATAGCATACCCGTCATAGAGAAGACTCTGTTATAACTAAACTAAAGTAATAAACTTCCAGTCAAATTGTGATAACCACTCTTACCTTACTGCTCCATCAAACCTTGTCAAATTCCAGGCAGTTCCCTCGGCCAGAAAAATTCTGCAACGAATCAATACTTTGTTGGGGAATCAGGAAAGAAGATAAGAGAGGAAGCCATCGATGAGGGAAGGAGAAAGAACCGAGAAAATAGAAGCCAAATTAGAGTTCAGAGTTCAGACTTCAGAGTTGGTAAGCAATTGGCTTAGATATGACATGCAAATTTTGTACAAAAGTGGTGCTACAACATAGTACTGTCAAAAAGTTTACACATAGAGAATCCGTCATCTTGTATATCCTCTGTAGCCATTTATCAACTATGCTAACCAGTGTACATGGCATATTAACTGACTATCAATTAATCCAGTCTCCAACACCTAAGTTACAGTGTTTATATGGGGAACAAATTGATGTATACTACATATCTCAAACAAGGACAACGCGTGCACCTGTTCGCTGGTAGTGATGAGTGTAGTCTTTTTTCGGCAAAATAAAACTTTAAAACAGCTCCATATATGTGGAATTGTACATTCAGATGCAATGCAGCATATCTTGCTGCTATTCAAAATTTCCTCCGAAGTTGGGCTACTTTTCGCCTAATAAGCACCCTGGAAGCCCTCATCTCCACATGAACACTTTCCATCTTTAAAATGATGAAAATGTTCCGTATCCCTAAGAGATATTTCTCTCCGGACAACCTTGGAAATAAATTTTACTGTACTATGACAACTTCGACACATGTATAGATTCTTAGTTACCCAAATGGGCATTCCAGGGACTGTGTTTATCAGGGCAAATGCAATAGCCAATCTCTCACTATGTCCACAGAAAACCTCAGCTTTTGAATCTTCATTCAAGGAGTTGGTTCGAGGATCAGACAAACCTTCTGCTTTCATTTTGTCATAAAATCCTTCTAGAACTGAATTCATTTCTTTAATTTGGGGATGGAAATTTTCACCAGTCAAAAAAGCATGAACTTGCCCTTTTACTTCGACCCAACTGCATCCAGGATCGACAGTTACCCCTTTCTCTCTTAGCATCCTTTGCAGACTAGCAACATCATCCCATTTACCACACTCCGAATAGAAGTTACACAACAGGACATAGTATTCTACAAACTCTTCATCCAATTCATATAAATGTCTCGCTGCAATTTCCCCCACGTCAAGACATCTATGAATTCTACAGGAATTTAACAAAGCTCCCCATATGGCGGCATCTGGTTTAATAGGCATCTTCTGTATAAACTCAAGAGCATCATCTACCTGGCCTGAACGGCCTAGTAAATCTACTACACAAGCATAGTGCTTCAGATTTGGAACTATGTTATACACATCTCTCATACTCTCGAAAAAATGCAAGCCTTCAGTGACCATTCCTGATTTACTACAAGCACATAATAGAGATATAAATGTAATCTCATCTGGCTCTACCTTTAAGTGTGACATCCTTCCAAATAGTTCCATGGCCTGAGCACCTTGCCCTCGCTGCGCAAATCCTGTAAGCAGAATATTCCATGCTGCACCATCCTGTTTCTGCATATTAAACAGATTCCAGGCAGGGACCATCCTTCCACATTTCACGTACATGTCTAGAAGTGCATTGGGTAGAAAACCATCTAGTTCCAGCCCGCTCCTCAACACATAAGAATGTATCTCCTTCCCACACATTAATGCTCCAATTCTAGCGCATGCACCAAGAACAGAAATCAAGGTAACGTCATTAGGATTTACACTGAGTTTCATCTGCCTGAAATGAAACAATGATTCAAAGCTTCGGTTGTTAACTTTGAGCCCCAGAATAATTGAAGTCCAAGATACCACGTTCTTGTTAGGCATCTCATGAAATATTTCCAAAGCTTTATCAATGCATTTACACTTTGAATAAAAATCAATGAGAGAATTCGCAACTATAGCATATGATATGAGACCTGTGCTTTTAGCATGCTCATGAACTTTAACACCCATATCCAAAAGACTCAAAGAAGCACACGCAGACAAAACGCTGGCAATGGTGATCTCATCTGGCACAATACCATCCATCTCCATCAATTTATAGGTGTCCACAGCCTTCTCAGGCAAGCCATTGCTCTCAAAGCCTGAAATCATTGCTGTCCAAGAAATCACATCCTTCAACTCTATCCCATTAAAGACTTTTTCAGCTTCCTCCCAATTTCCAACACTTGAATACATCTGAATCAATGTGTTACCCACAGAAACATCAACCCCGTAATAATTTTTTACGGCAAATCCATGAAGAGCCTTACCGAATTTCTCATCACCAAGGACCTCACATGCTGAGATCACACTGGTTATGGTCATCAAGTCTGGCTCAAAACAGAACTCCCGCATCAAAAAGAACAGCTGCAACCCCTCAACACACTCACCATTCTCAAAATACCCCGAAATCATTGCATTCCAAGATATTCTATCTCTCCTCTGCATTCCAGCAAACACCCTTCTCGCACAAGCCAGGTTACCCGACTTCACATACATAGTGATCACTGCATTATTGACATCAACATCCGACTCAAACCCAAACCTAATCACATGAGCATGAAGTTCTCTACCCCTTTCCCAATCACTCAATCCCCCACAAGATCTTAAGACACAAGGAAAAGTATAAACATCAGGCCAAACTCCATCCCACATCATCTTATGGTACAAATCCAGGGCCTCATCAAAGTACCCACTTTTAGCATACCCACCAATCAAAACATTCCAAGAAAACAAATTTCTATCCTCCATCTTCCCAAACACATACCAAGCATCACTCAAGTTCCCCAACCTCACAAACATGCTCAACAATGCATTTCCCAATCTCAAACTCAAATGGGACGCAAAATTCAACACGTATTCATAAATTAAACACCCCTCATCCCAAGCCCTTCTGAATTCACAGAGTCTAATAACAGAAATAAAAGTATCCTCGTCCAAACTATTTTGAGGGTCATTCAGAAGCGACTTCAGAATTCTTATGGCTTCGTCCAGCTGATTATCTAGACAAAGCTGGGTAATACGCGAATTGGGTTCGTCAATCTGGTGGCCGGAGGAGTAGAAAAGTGAGGTATTTGGAGTTTTTTTGAGTGGAAAGTGAGGATTTTTCTGGGTAAGGTTAGAAAAAGGTAGAGACTTGGGACAATGGAAGTTGGACACTGAGGGATTGAGGTGTTCGGAGTGGAGAGATATGGTTGGAGTCTGAGCAGAGAGCGCCATTTGAGGTGTTACAGAAGCTAAGCATTGTTGGGATTGATGGTCTGAAGCTGGGGGTTTTAGGAGAGGTTTAACCAATGGCTCAGAAATGGCAGAAAGAAACAGAGAAATTTACGGGATAATGTCCATTTTTACAACCCAGACGACATCGTTTAGTTACTTCAAGTTGACAAGCAAGGAAATGTTGACAATGAACTTTTTACAAAGGTTTTAGACGAATTCTAGTAGTTAACTCAATATTATTGTCCACAGAAAAAAAAAAATATTTCTTTGGTCTCAAAATGACTATTGAAAGAAGTATTTAGCATTTTTTTTCCTAGTAATGGAAAAATAGTGATATCTTAAATTGTAGTATTTACTCTACCTCAAAAGTTTTTTTTTTTAAAAAAAAAGAAGTGTTTATTGATTAAAATAAATCACGAAATTAGATTTTTATTTTGTGACGGGTTTATAGAAACAATGTTCCTAGTTTGAGACTTGTATACTTCCACATTTGGTTAAGCAGCGCTGTTTGAAGCACAAAAAAGTATTGGTCAAAACTCAAAAGAGTTCTTCCAGGTACAAATAAATCTTGCTATTATTAGACAAATGTTCAATCAACTAAGTGAAATTATTTTAAGTACAAAGATGGAAACACTAAATTAGTTCCAAAGTCTACAATTAAGAGGAGCCATACAGTTTAACAAATGAATGAAGGTTTTCAGAGTTTACAGTTTTCTTCAAGACAGTGATTTCCTCCATCTCAATGGAGTTTTGCCTTTCACAACCCTGTTCTTCATATCTACAGCAGGGGTGCGTCTCACAAACCCGCTAAATTCAACTTCTCCTTCACCATCTACAAATTTGTTAGTATTATTGTTCTTAAACGATGGCAATCCAATCTTCTTCCAGCTGAAAATCCCTCTCTTTTTCTCCAACAGTCTCTCAATCTGTCCCTGCATGTTCATGCATTGGCTCTGTAGCCTCAAAACATCTTCTTTCAGCTTCTTTATTTCCAGCTGCTGAGCATTCATTTCCCTCTTCGAAAGACACCGGGCCGGCGGTTCTAGTCCCCCGCCGGCAATGCCCGTGCTCGGGCTGCGCATCCCGCTGAATGATCCACTCCAGTCAATTTGTTTGTTGATCTTTGCTTGCTCTGAGAATAGTACTTGGATTACTGCTCTTACCGGTAACCGGTCGTTCGAAGCCGCATGGAATGAGGCCTCCGGTGAGAGTTTCCGGCTGTCTATTAGCCTGCATAAGCTCTTCCTGTCTGGCTTTGACACTCCCGGATGTGCCTGACAGTTTTCATTAGGCCTAATTAGTGCCATTTCCACATTTTTACTCATCAGTTTTCATCAGGCCTATTCATAACATTGTTTTGTGTGGCCTGAAATCTACCATAACTATTGACAACATGTTTTGGCTCAGCATTTGGAGCTGGAAAAAAATGAAAATGCTGGCTTTGGCAAGATGTGAGTTTGTGTTGGGCTGAAACAGTGAAGGAAAAAAATGTGTTCTTGGCTACATGCAAATTGCCAGTAGCCTCAGTAAGGCCTGAGGAGTGAGGACCCCTCAATTATGACAGGGAAAATAAAAATTGGGAAAGAGTAAAAATGGAGGACACCCGTGAGTAACCACTTTTCCAAGCCTTCCAAGTGAGGACAGAATCACAGGCAAACCTGATTTAATTTATCCCCTTAAGCTATACTGTTTGTCTGGGTAAGACACATCTGTTTCAATGACTTAAAAGCAGAAATCTCTGATATGTCAACAATCTGGTAATGGTGACCATTCAATGACTCATTTTTACTTTTCATTAATGTTCACCTTTTTCTGAGATAATGCAAAGTTGCAAACAGGACATGCCACAAATCTAAAGCAACTTAAACACAGAAGAAGCAGAAATGATATGAACTATGGATATGGAAAAGCATGGGATACAAGTTGAGAACTTTGAGTTGATGTAACCTAATTTACCTTCAGGTAGGTATCAATGGCTCTGTATAAGCCATCATCTGTGGAGCGAGCATGAGCAGGGATAGCTCCAGCAAGAGCAATGAACTCAGAAAGCTCCAAGTTGGAATCTACAGCAGCTTCAGCTAGGTAAGAATCCACAAGTTTGGCCACTTTCATCATTGCAGCTCCACTTCTGAAAGTTTCATCCAAATTCAGGAACCTGTTCACTAATCTAAGAACAAGCTCAACATCGAGTAATGTACCACAGGTGTGACTAAATGATGGTATCATCAACTCTTTCAATGAGGCTTGGTCAAGTTGCCAAGAAATTCTCTTTTCCAGCTCTGCTCTGTAAGTAGGCTCAACATTAACCATGCAAGCAGTGCGGAGCAGCCTAAGAAGGAAGTTGCAGGGCACGGAATCCTTCTCCGGAGGCAGAACCCCGACAAGGGTTTCCACGAAAAACCGCTTCTTCATCCAAGAAGCTGTCACACTTTCAGGGGACTCTTCAATTGCAGTTAGGCCTTTCCCCAATTCATCATCTGAGGCTGATAAATCAGGAAGCCATTTGGAAGAATAGTGGGTTATGATTGAGCCAATTAACTCAGGCCTCACTCCTTTGGACTTTATATCTGCAACAGTCTTAACAAAATAATCCATGTCAAGAATGCATGCATCATCAAACCAACATTCTGCTTCAAATTGTGTTGGTCTGCCTGAAAAAGTCATTGAATCCTGCAAAGTCTGCTTTTTCATTTTGGAAGCTAGAGTAGTAAATTAGTTGCAGAGTTGCAGCAGGTGAAGCAAGTCAGTGTTGAACACTTTCTAAACAGCAGCATTGCTCTTGTGACAATAAACTTATACTATGTTGGTTTTTTACTGTGTTACTATGTTCTTGTGACATAAGGCAAGTAGATAAAAAGGCCAAAGCCACATCATTTTCTTCTGAAAATTTAATGGAAATTTCGAAGAAAAAATGCTTAACATTTGTCCGCTGAAGTATATGAACATGGATGATGAAGGGTAGGATAAGAAAGCTAGGAGTAAGCTAGGAAGAAATCCGTTTCAAGTCTCTTTCTAAAGATGTCATGTCATGTTATAATTAATTTTGTTCTGCTCTGTAGGAATAAGCTGGATGTTCCATTCCAAGGACGAATTCACATTAAATTGTTTTTGTCTCTAAACTAAGAAGAAACAGTCGGTAGTACTATACCAAACAGCACAGTATGGCAAAAGATGCCAGTGAAGGGGTTTAAGAATTTGATTTGTTTTGATTTTGTATTTTTGTGGTTAAAATCAATCTTCAACCTAGACATATACTCTTTTAACAAACACTTCCAAGCGTAAAAACTGTTTCCAGATATGCTTCCAATTGGATTGTATCGAATTTAAGCCCGAGGTAATATGCTCCTAAAATTCCCAAGCTTTTCATGCTACACAGAAAACGAGAAACAGGTAGCTGACAGGGAGTTTATGGCAATCTTGATATTGAGAAAACATTGGTACATTGTAATCTTGGTTCTAGATATATAGCTCAGTATAAAGCTTCTAAAAACAATACTTTGAAAATGTTTGTCATGCTTGCCCTGATACTGATTATTCTGTAAAATCTATGGATTGAACACAGTCCTACAAGAGTCATGTCTAGAAATCTCTTCGAGCAGATCCGGGGAATCATCCAACCATCGTTTCAACTTTCTTTGATAATCCTCTCGAGTTCTACAAATCATTGAAATCATCACAGATTTCTGGGAGATGATGGTTCAGATGTGCTGGTTGGGTCACTGGGGTTGAGAGCAGATCCATTTGCAAGTGAACCATTACCACTTTCGTCCTGGGGCACGACTGGAATTTTCACAGCGGCCCGTTCCATCTCCTTTTCAAGCTCCTCTTCTCGACGCAATGCCGTGAATTGGCCATCCAAGGACCTGGCAGCTGCCAACCACGCGCCAACAATTACCAGAAGAATTCCTCCGAGGTAAGGAGTGGAGTTTGCAAGTGATCCAAATGTTAATATCATGAATTGCTGGATCAGAGCACCGCCAGATTTCCCCAATGGGTTGCACACAACATCAATTGCTGCCTTACCTTTAATCTGATAATGGGAAGGAGGAAAAACAATAAAACAGCCATTAGTTTCTCAAGCAAGAATCACTGTCTTGAAATGCTACACTTTTCCAGTTCCCCTCAACCAATTTGTGTGTAAGCTATTTTGCAAACCTCTCACGTTACTGGGACTTTCAATTAGCGTCATGAGAAAATAATAAAATTTAAAAAACACAAAGACAGTTTGCAAACTGTTTGTGTTAAGTAAAGCAGCTAACCTTGGTCTCTTCATCTAACGGAATGTAGGCCATCTCCTTGCATGGATCAAATAAGCTGTATTTTGCACTCTTACTGAAAATATTCTGCAATGCCCCCACATAGACAGCCGCAAGAAGTGGAGTCAATCCAAAGCTGGCCATAGTAGGTGCAAGGGGGCCGCCAAATAAAATCAGTGAAAAGAAGCCAACTCCAGTAATGAGCAAAACCGTTGGTGTGATTGTCGCTGCCACTCCCCAACCATATTTATCAAAAATCCATTGACTTAGGAGCATCATAGAGAAAGTTGCAATCCCGGTAGCAGTAGAGAAGTCACCCATGAAGGATGAGTATTCATTTGGACTAGGAAACTGCATAATTAACGGATTACGTTAGCTAGCATATATAAGAATACAATAGCATTGATTTAAATTTCCAAGTATACAAACCTGCGCTTTGAGCTTCGATTTCCACGTAACCTCCACAAGGTTGATGCTAATACCATATGCCACAACCAAAGTGGCAAGATCTCTAATGTATCTAGAAGAAACCAAAAACTTTAAGCTCTCCATCGTTCCCATTTTTGGTTTTTCCTGTGAAAACAGCAAAGTTGTAAAAAAACAATTCGTAGCTGGAGGGAAAAAAACAAATTAAACAAGCATCCACTAGATATTTCAGTTAAAATAAAGAAATAAGAGCATTCTTTGTACAAACCTTCTTCTTCTTGCTTCGGGTAGGAAGAGGCACGTGATTATTTACCCACCAATAGCAGCCACAGATTACAAACCCCATCAACACAACAATACTCATCATAGCTTTGAGGGAGACAGCCCAACCATCAACTCCAGGACCTAAATTCTTCCTCAAATTAGAGAAGTACTTCACGGTACGGCCAGAAAAAATTAGGGCAACATTAGCCCCCAGTCCAAACAGTGGATAGAATCTTTTAGCCTCTTCAACAGTGGTTATCTGGAGGAGAAAAATACCCAAGAGACTTATTAGTTACAAAAGAATTATGTTGACAATATAAAACTACCTTAACACTGTAAATGGCTAAACAGAATAGTTAACCAAGGTTCCCATGAAACCAATACTGCATCTAGAGCATTTAGTTCCAAATTTAAAGAATTGGAATGACCCATTAAAACGGCCATTTTGCCGGTAAAAACTGGAAAGTACAAGTGAAAGCAGACTAAGAGTCCAGCAGAGCAATGAGTACATAATAAATGGCTCACACTTTGGCTGTAAAAAGAACAGTAGAACTGAGTCACCAATGGGAAAAAAGAATTCAGATATTCTCGCCATTTACAGACTACTATTCTGCCAATGACTATCGCCGCTAACAATGTGCGTAGATAAATCCTGATTAGCATGTGAAGCCAAACAATTACTCCAAACAGACAATTAAAAAGGAAATAAACATTTCAACCAGATTATATCATATGCATCATGATAACCTCAAGCTCCAACTAGAGGATGTGACCTCTATGTTGCACGTGAGAAGGGAGGGAAAAAGTAATAATAATGATAGAATCCAGTAATAAACAGCCAATACAACCCAATGAAACTATCAATATCTTTTGACGAATGAGAGGTCAAAAATCCACTTTAACCCATAAATATAATAAAAGAGGTAAAAATGCTGGGCAAAGTCTGAAATTTGCAAGACCAGGGACAATATTTTGACGTCAACGGATTTCCCTTCAGCGGAGAAACCAATTTCGAATATAAAGAACAAAGTGCCCAAACAGCCAGGTTCAATGCTCATCAGAATCAGAATCTCTTAAATAATCCAACAATGAGATTTCAAAGAATATATCGCACAAATACATGAAAGCTTAAGTAGTTACCTGATTAGCAAAACCCCAAAAGAGCACTGAAATCACCACACTTCCCCAAAGCTCTGCCATGACATAGAATAAACAGAAACTCCAGATCCTCAAAATAGCAATTGGCCCAAGAAACCTTGGACCAAGAGCGTTCAGAAGTTTATCAGCAAAAGCTGTAGGGTGAAAATAGTTGCTAAGAGGATACAAAAGAAACCCAAATGCTCCAAAGAAGGCTATGAATGGAAGAATTGTAGTATAGAAAAGAGCCTGCTTGGACAATACATTAGCCAGTTGGGTGTACAACAGCATGAACCCAATAGCCATAGGCAAATTCACCCAAGTTTTCAAAAAGGGTATAATCTCTGCACTTGAGCCTTTAGCTGTGACCACCAAAACATCTTTCGTATCCCTTAGAATTGTATAATTGAAAAGAATACAGAAAAACATCAACCCAAGTGGCACAATTTTCTTAAGGGTGTTCACTTCTATGCCGAATATCTTTGGTTGCTCAGGCTGACCAAAAACGGACTGGCCATCAGCTGAAGCAGCGGCAGCTTCAGCCCTGCAGAAATTTCTATTCTTTTGGCTAATTAAACTAGGCTTTGCTACAAAGCCTTGAAATTTCTGAAACCCACTATGACTGACAGAAAGGCCATTGAGGGGTAAGGGTTTAGGCTTCAAGGAATTGGAAAGATTCAATCTTTGCCTGAAACCCTGTTGAGGTGCACTCAAAAAGGCTCTGGATTTGGGGTTTGAAGGAAGGGAAAGAAGCCCTTTAGCCTGAAAAACAGCCTGCATTCTGCCCACCCTCTCTTGGTTTCAGTCTCTCTTCCAATATACTTGAGAAACCACCCAAGTAAAAACAACCCGTTTCAATGTTCAAAAGTTGAACATGAAAAAAGAGAGAACGAAACAGAGGGAGGGATAAGGTTTGGGATTAGGCAACCCTTGTAGATAGCAAATTGTTTTCCCTTTCCCCAGAGGTCAAATTCTGGGAGAGTTGGAGGAGAGGGGAAAAAAATATCTTTAGAAGATTCGTATATATATCAGCAGAGAATAAAGAATCAAAAAAACCCTTCTGATTTTGGAGTTGAGAGAGAAACAAAACAAAGGAGAGAAGGAGAGATGAACAAGTAATTAAGAAAAATTAATCAGCTTTTTTGCTCAGGGTTTTAGCCAGAATGTCTCTCTCTACTCAGTTTCTGTAATTCTGAGTTCTCATTTGAGAAGCCAGCCGCCATTAATCAAGCTGCCATTATTATACGGAGTACATTTTAAATGATTATTTATTTATTTTTTTGGTTGCCCATTTGCAATATTAAAGGTAAAGATTACAATACAAAATTCTAGAAAAATGGAACAGAATTAAGGAAAAATGGAGGAAACCGTCAAGCGTACAACATTTGGGAACTTTTTAATGAATATGGCCAGCCAGCATGTTGTTTCCAAGCTGCTTACGCAAGTGGAAATTACGGTTGAATGTTGTTTTTGATACAGTAACATCATTTTTCTCACCTCCAACTTTGACTTTGGATGTGAATTTACCAAATTAGCTAGCCCTTAGATATTTTCCTTTTTTCCAACCTTTTACACTTTTCTGTACGTGTATTTTTCTTTTTAAGCTAGGTGACGCATTTGTCTTTTTCTCCTAGTACTTTGATAAATTGTTGTACCTTACAAATGTAGAGAAACCCTCTTCTTCGGAGTTACGTTTTGAGAAATTTTTTCAATTGTGTCGAATGTATTGGAGAACCACAAAATGTGTATTATTAAGATATGAAAATTTGGTTAACTAGTTGAAACTGTGTGCTTGAAAATCGAAACATGGCCTTGATATTTTAGTTGGGTCACAATTAAAATTACTAAAATCTCGATGTATTTCATGCAAATTACATGTGTGTATCTCATACTCGGACTATTAATGGTGCAAATATCTCACCACTAATTTAACTAGTATTATCTTGTGTAACTATTTATTTGATCGGTTTGTTAAATTAATGGGGATAAAAATTAATCCTCCAACTCGAGTGCAACATATTTTTATATTTTTTGAGTATTCAAGGGCTGCTTTAGTTTTTTAGGAGATTGAAAATGACAATTATTAAGTTGACGGGGAAAAAAAATAGTAGAAAAGAAAAAACCAAACATGGAAAGAACAAAAAGCACTTCAAAAAGATTCAGACGAGTCGATTTCTTTGTCCAACAAAAAAAAACCACGTTTTTTTTTTTTTGTAAATTACGTCTAGAAAAATGAATTTTATTTACTTGCGGGGGTCTTCCTTCTTAAGAAATTCCTATGTTGGTGTCGTTTTCTTTGTTTGAAACCCACGATACGACAACCCATGCCAATTTTCATTGTAGTATTCCATATTCAATGCCTGAATTAGACCAAATTGAACATTTTTAATTGACTTTCCAACTGGAGATTCATAACGGAATAATAACCAAAATTTGAATGGTGATTGATAGTACTGTATTTGATAGCGAGGCCTAATTAAAATTAAATGGCCCCCAGTGATTCTCATTAGTTTCTCACTTTCTCAATAATAATTAATAAGTAGTTCAAAAAGAAGACTTGAGTGAAAAAGTGCCGTTTTGCAACTGGCATTTCCTTAGTAGCACGAGTTTATATGAACTAAAAATCATCAGAATATTAGTGTACATTAATTTTATCACAAAAATCCCAAGATTCATGATCCATCAAGTCATAACTTCACATTGATTTACTTACAATTTTGCAAAAAAAAAAAAGAATTCCACACGATCTCATTGTTACAGTTTCTTCACCTTACAATTTTAATATTTTCATCCCTCATAAATTATTCTGTATATAAGAGAACGTATAAGAATAGAGTGCTAAAGATACAATATGATAAACATAATTCATAAACTATTTTAACTTTATATTAATAGTAGTTCCAAAAATATGTAACGTGTAACTCGAATTTAAATTGGTCGGAAAACAGGTTTGAAGTGTAAAATAAACCCGCAAGGGAAAGGGTACAAAAATGTTATGAATGCATTGGAAATAGAGGGGAGTGTGGCCGGTGGGCACAAAATTCCCGCTGGAGCGCAAGCAAGGGACACGAGCGGAACTGCGGGGCACCAACCCATTTAACGGTAGAAGCTTCAGCCACGTCAGAATTCACCCCTGCCCGAAAAATATCATCATCCTCGAGAGTCGAGACTAGCAATTTTAAAAGAAAAAATGGAAATATATAAAAAGGGAAAAAGTGACTGACACGTGACATCTTGTTAGGAGCTGAATGGCCAATTGTGGGTGTTCCAGTTGTTTATTGGATTTGGACACCTCATTTCCTTTTCCCTTTTTCACTCTTCTTCCTTCTTTTATTTTGTTTCGTTTTGAGCCAATGCCGTAATAAAGCATTGTAAATAATTAAGATACAGGCTACAACACGGCAATTAATTCACTAAGGATATGACTGACGGGGAAGATGTTAAAAATGTTAAAAATAATTTATTCTCTCGTGAATCGGACTGGATGACTTGCCCAATTCGGTCCAATTGGCTTATTCTCTCTCTTTCTCTCTCCCCCTCTCCCTCTCTCTATATTTTATATGGGTTTGGAAAAAATAACACGGGCAAAATAATCATTCTTCAAAAATAGTGGCTCCAAGTAATAAAGAGGGTGGCTGGAAAAATCCTCCCCCTTTTCAAATGGACCCATTCTCATATTTATCCGTCCCTTAGTCCCTACTGTTCATATGCTTAATTTGATCCTAATTTGTCCAAGTTTTTAAATACAATTCAAAGAGTTATTTTAAATACAAATTGATATTTTTCATTAATAAAAGTATATGAAACTTATGAAAAAAAAAATCGTATTCAAAATCCGACCCCACAAACCTAGAATTCTAGTTCCGCCACTGCCAGTAATTCCTATATTCATTCGCCCCCTGCTTATGTTTCACTCAAAAATCACATTAGTAGTCGTCGTAGTTCACACTACAATCCAGTATCTTTTCCCTTGCTAGAATCATCATCAATAACCCTTGCAAGCGTATATATATAGAGTTTGACATGTTTTGTTGCAGATTTAAAGGGAGTTAAGCTATACTTTGGCGTTGAAGTATATTTTTTCAGGTTCGAATACAGTTGTCAAGCTGTTTTTATTTTCTTCTTGTTTTGTTTCTTCTTGTTCCTCGATGGCGATCCATTGGTTGGGCTTCTAGAGTTTCTTACAATGTATTAAAAGATACATTATAATTGACTGAGTTTATCTTCGATTTATAGTATAACTAAGTTTTTTTGGCCCACAATTACTCGCGGGATATATATCTTCAAAACATTTATACTTTAATGATTTTAAAATGAATTAAAAATTTTATATTTGGTTTATTTCTTCACTTTAAATTGAATGGTTCAAACAAAATTTGAAATTATGATCTCCTTAGAGTAATAGTCCATACTCAACACTTTTTTTTTTTCACCCATCCCATTTAAATCGGTTTCATGCTTCTTTTTTTTCTAATGACATTCCCATTTAATTTGGTTTCATGAAATTTTTTTTTGTCCCATTTAATTCCTTCTCATGCTTTTTTTTTCCTAATGACATTTCCATTAAATTTGGTTTCGTGCATTTTTTATTAAATACTGATATACTCCATATGAAATTATACCTAATAAGAAGAAAATGGCACCATATAACTTATTAGGTTAGCTAGTTTCAATCTTTTTCAGAAGTTAATTATTTATAAAATTAAATTTATTTTTTTTTTTTGCATATTGCAGAGTGTCCACCGTAGGCAACAGTGATTAATTCATTTCGCTCTAGGCACCTCGATGTGCTTAAATTATTTTTAAAACTTATTTTATAGATTTTAGACTAAGCCCAACTTCTTCTTTTTTTTCTTGAAACCCCATAATTTAAGCCCAAAAAATTAGTTTAGCCCAAAATCTAAAGTAAAAGAAAGTTGCTGGGTTGAAATTTGATAAGGCCACATTTTTTTTGTCTGGACTTGAAAGTAATTTGATATTTAGGCATGTTTTTCGACTAAATAACAAAAATGCCACCATTTTTCTTGATGTTATTCCAACGACGAAAGTACTGTACCTTTTGTGGCTCTTACTTTTATATAGTATATTTTTATTGATGTTATTCCAACGACGAAAGTACTGTACCTTTTGTTGCTCTTGCTTTTATATAGTAGTGGATTTGGACACCTCAATTCTTTTTCCCTTTTTCACTCTTCTTCCTTCTTTCGTTTTGTTTCGTTTGAGCCAATGCCGTAATAAAGCATTGTTAAGAATTAAGATATAGGCTACAACACGGCAATTAATTCACTAAGGATATGACTGACGGGGAAGATGTTAAAAATGTTTCAACATACTAGTTTCAAGAAGACATCCTCTTATTAGATTGTGCACATGACCAACTTGAAAGGATTTCCATTGTTCTATACTTCTACTTGATGGTATAAACTTGCCGAATCAGTGTTGAGGTTGCAATTCACACAGGGCTTTAGAAAGAGAGAAAATAAAGAAATATTCTATGAGACTTGTAAAGAGAAACATGAGTTGCTATCAGTATCTGGAGTTGGTGGTGTAAGATATTTCCTTGTATTTTGTTGTGATGCCACAATTTTTAGTATTATTTTTCGTTATCCGTTGTGCATTAGGGTAAGGACGATTATTTATGAAGAAAAATAGAAATTATAAACGATGGATAAATTTATACCTTACTTCTGTCGAGATACTTCATTGTTTCGCCGCAGCAACTGCAAGCCATGTTTCATAGATTTTCCTCATCGTTAAGGCGTTCGCTTTCTTTTTTTTTTTCCTGTCCAAATCACTTTTAGGTTTCCCTCTTAACTCTTATATAGTATAATTTTAGTTTAGGATTAATATCAAAAAAAAAAATCTCTTGATATTTAAGTGATTATCTAAAATATTCTCTCTATTCGGAGAAATATAAAAAATTATCCCTTCATCTGTAAGTCTTTCAACGACTAAATATTAATGTATGTATATGGAATTGTCCAAAAAAAAGTGTTGAAAAGACGTTTTTTATTTTCCAAAAAACCCTTCATATTTTTTTTTAAAAAAATCCCAAATAAAATAAAATATTCACAACTAATCTATAGTATTTATTTATACTAAGAGAGAAACCAGAGAGAGAAAACAAAAACAAAAAAAATTCTAAAGGAGCCACGTAGAATAAAATCTTATGTGTCATTTTTCTAATGGTTGAGTAAAAAAATATTTACAATAATTATACTAATAGTCCTTCAAATTTTATGTAAATAAAGTTTTATCAAATGGTATTTAAAACTATAGTTTAAAATAGGAAAATAAAAATTAATTAAATTTAATGGACGGGATTAATGCACCAGAATTATTCCCTCTCCGAAAGAATCCTCAAAGTTACTACATGACTCATTTAATTAATCTCTCTAAAAAAAAAAATCTCCCTCCCAATCATGTAAATCAATTGACTACAATTCAAAAAAAAATAAATATATATATATATATATCAATCATTCAACATTAATGTTATCTTTAAAATTTTCTCCAAAAAAATGACCATGTATTTTTCGCCAATAAAAAAAAAAAGGTACAAAACTTGCCTTCAATTATTACTAAAAGAATGGGATTTAACTATAATTAAATGTTATCTTTTGAATTTCAAACCAATGCATTTATTTGTGTAATATCATATCTACCCAAATAAATATAATCTTTCCTTAATAATATCTCAAAAATTGTTATGAACTTTATCTTTATCACTGAAATTTTGGATAATCAATTATCATCAATCCTAATTTATCTCTATTTATACATGCCACACAAATCATGAGTATGTTCCAGTGCTGTAAAAATTTCTCCCTCCCCAAAACAACCCGAAATCCAAAGATGAAAGGGTAAAAACTTTACCCCAACAGTTGGTTTGTTGTTCTGAAAGTGATGAACTAATAGTGGGTCGATCGTGTGGCATGGGAGATAATGGTTAATTAAGGTTATATATGATTTTTTATTTCCGTATGTTCTTCTGCAAAATAATGTTTTAGGGTTCTTTTTTAGACGTTACTAAATTTATGTTTTCTTTACCCATAATTTCATAATTTCATTAATTATTATTTTCTATTGTCATAGCAAAAACGAATTAAAGGGCAAAAATTTTAACTCTACAGTTGGTTTGTTCCTCTAAAATATCAAGTATTGGACCAAACAGTACTATAAAATCTTTAATTACAACAAAATAACCATAAAAATTTTAAACTTCATACTTAAATCACACATAATCTACCATCTACTATTGATAATTACTTCATTATGTATTTTACGCGTACAATCATTTTATTTTTTCATTCAATATGTAACATTAATACAATTTTATTTAGTTTATTCTGCTTATGAGTGTTATTGTCCAGTTATTCTCTTTCAATAAAAATCAAATGAATACTTGTATTTCAAATGATACGCATTATTTTATCTTTACAATTACGTCTTTATTTAATTTTAGTTATGTAATGTATCTTAATATGGACTCCAAATACATTTTACACTTTTTATATATTTTTTAATTTTTTATAATGTATATAAAATAAACCCCGCACGGGTTTAACATCTAGTATCAGTATAAGAGGATGTCACCTTGAATGTGCTATTTTTACCATTCAACTACTTCATCCAATCATATTATGAATTTTAAACTAATTAGGAATAACTATCTTACTACTAATATTAGAAGTAATCTTATTACTTAATACTAGAATATTAATATTCTCTTTGTGGTCCATTTTGGTGAACAAATCATATCATTGTGTATCAAATTTAGAAAATTATGATTCTTTTTGCCATAGAAAAATAGCCTATTTATTTATTTATTGACATATGGGATAAATCTTCTTTGTTGTTTTTTTGGAAAATGTTTGTCCAAATAGATTTTTATTGTTAGTTCAACTTGAGCTAAAAATGAAAATACAAACTTGACCGAGTTTTATCTTCTACATTTCCACTTTTTTTTTTTTTTTTTTTTACATATTTGCAGAGTGTCCACCATCGACAACAATGATTAATCCCCCGCGCTGAATTGTAGGTACCTCAATGGGTGAGACAGCTGGCCAAAGTATTTAAGGTTGCTCCATGCCCATGACGAAGTTCGAACCCTCGAACTATGGTTAAGGGTGGAGGAGTCCCTTCCACTCCACCAAAAATCACTTTGGTTTTCTACATTTTCACTTGATATTGGATCTTTATTTTATATATATAGAAAAGCATACTTGTATAACTAAACATATAAAAGGAAGTTAATGCTTGAGAGTAGAAATACAATGATAAGACATTCATGAAATTGATTAGATACTGTTAAATCATGTACTTGGATCTTATTGTTTTGAAGTACGTTAAGATTCACAGATGGGCCTCGAAGCCCAGAAATCGCTGATTGAACTTTTGATCAAGCCCAATATGTATTCACCTTAAGACTTAAAAGCATGCCTTATTATCTATCAGCCCAAAGATTAAAAAGAAATTTTTATTACGGTTTTCCATCGTCAACCTCTCTCTATATCGATCGTCTCCTGATTGGTACTGATAAGAAAACACCAGAGCCGATCTGTCGCGATTCAATTCTTGATTTTTTTTTTCTGGTGGAGAATCGTTAAACCATGGAGTCTTCAAGCTCGTGGTCGAGGGCCTTGGTCCAGATCTCGCCGTACACCTTCTCCGCCGTGGGCATCGCCATCGCAATCGGCGTTTCTGTCCTTGGCGCAGCTTGGTAAATTCCCTGCTTAACCCTATGCTTACTCTTGAGAACTCCAACTGCTTCGTTAGGGTTTCGATGCCACTGATTGTGATGGCGCTAATATTTGTCGTGCTTATATTGATGCGTTACCTGTAATTGTTTTGTAAGGGGGATATTCATTACGGGAAGCAGTCTGATCGGTGCTGCCATTAAAGCTCCTCGCATTACTTCCAAAAACCTAATCAGGTGATTTTCTTGTCTGAATTTCATTTGTAGGATTTTACAATTGAGCAAGAAGCTGTCTTTGTATGTTGTTGTTTGTGAATGGATTACTATAATCAGTGATTGTAATGAATTACAACAGTTCTCAACTGATTTATGAAGTTGAATTTGAATCGTTTATCTGAATGGTCCAAATTGTTGGTTTTCTAGCTTGGTATGCTGAGTTATTTCCGAGTAGGCTTAGTTGATATGTGATTGGTTCTGTTGCCTTGGAGGAAAAAAAGCCATTGTGGTCATTCTTAGTTGATGAATATAGTAAGCAAACTGTGAAATATAATCATGTTAACAGTAAATACACTGAATGAGTTCTGCTATTACGTTTACTTCCAGTTACCGTGTCGTTTCTAGAGAAAAGTTTCTTTATTATTGTGACTGGTTAGAGTCTCCAGCTATTGAAAAGAGAAGAAACCGGGATAGGATAGCTTCTGCCGAAAATTTAACTCACATTACTTCCAAAGCTTATTCGCGCTTTTAATGAAATGAAGACTGGAGTTTGCAAATTGCCATGTATTTCATGGTAATGTTGAATGGGAAGTCATTTTGCTGGTGTTTTGAAATGGGTAAATGTAATTTACAAATTGCATGATTGGATATGCTTCCATCAAGAATAAAGGAAAAAGATCATTCTCCAATGTTCACTCTTAGATAAATGGTTATATTCAGTTACTGGACCAGGTTACAGACAAACATTTGGAATTAGTTAATATAGTCTGGTTGGTTCATAAGTCATTGGAAAAGAGATGGAAGAACCAAGAAATGCGCAGTGTCATTTAAGTGGTCGATTTTGATTTTGTTTTCTAAGTTTGTTTTTCGTTTGGGTTGGTGTTTTGTATTTATTTTGCCAATGTAAAGTATCCATGGCCTAGGACGTGGACAGTTATTTGTATTTTATAAAAGGCTAATAGACCAAGTAACCAGAACAAAACTGAGCATGCCCACTGATGACACTTTCAACCCTGGTTGTCCATCTTATTATTTTGCCCATGTAAAGTATCTATGGCCTAGGACGGCTAGTAGACCAAGTAATCAGAACCCTGCTTGTCCATCTTATGTAAGAACAATGTATATCATCCCTTCAGTCAAAGAAAATAAAGTACTTCAAAACTGATGAAACAATCCAGATTCTCGTCCACTGTGGAAAATTTTCACTGTGGAATTGATTGTTTTGTGATCACAAATCTATGGAGGGTCAACCTTGATGGACCAGAAAGGAACCCAGAAGTCCTCAAATGTATAGATTAGCACTAATGTAGATAGTACTGATGGCCTTCGGAGTGTAGACCTGTTTCCTTTTCATTTAGTATCTGTGGTAGTATAAGAAGGATGAGGGAAGCCTCTGTTTTAGATTATTTTTGTTGCACATTCATCACAACTTGTGCGCAGTAGCTGGTTGGACTCAGTTAATGTGCTGCTATATTGTTTAAGAAAATGACAAAACTTTGGGACTATGATTAATTTTATTGTCTGACTGGTTGCAAGGAATTTTCTTAAATTTTCATGATGTCTGTTAAAGCTTGATATTAAACTTTGATACTGGTGAACTTATTTGGAGGAAGTCATCCAGCCGTACTTTACTATCCTTTCGCTCATCTCAGTATATCTTTTCTTTGTTCAGTGTGATATTTTGCGAGGCTGTGGCTATTTATGGGGTGATTGTTGCCATTATTCTACAAACAAAGCTTGAAAGTGTTCCTCCCTCTCAAATTTATGCTCCTGAATCCCTTAGAGCAGGATATTCAATCTTCGCTTCAGGAATTATTGTGGGGTTCGCAAATCTTGTATGCGGGTAAGTTGCTGGCACCTGTCTTTCAGTTTGAGACACCTCCCCATACTTAGGCTCCTAAATACCATAGATTGCTGGTTCATGCTGCATATCTAACTGTCTAGTTTGCTTGTTGGGCTCTTGGATTTAGGTTATGCGTGGGAATAATTGGAAGCAGCTGTGCTTTATCTGATGCACAAAACTCGTCGCTATTTGTAAAGATTCTGGTTATTGAAATCTTTGGTAGCGCACTTGGTCTTTTTGGTGTGATTGTTGGAATCATCATGTCTGCACAAGCTACATGGCCAACTAGAGCTTGATGAGTTCCTGATGTCAGGGGATTGCTTTGGAGGGCGATTGTCGAAGTTCTCAATTTTCAGTCCTCAGTTTCCGTCACCTCCCTGTTTTCAGGGTGTTAATATTCTTTTTTTTTTTTGCCACACTACCGAATGGGGAATAAGAAAAGCCTGCGTCTGTATGTCATTGAGTGTATCTCTTAATTGTAATTTCTTTGACTAGGATTTATATTAGTGCATCCTGGGGATCTGAAGGTTGACTCCTTTGCCAAATTCTTGAATTACTCTTTAATATTTATGTAGAATAATGATCATTTTCTTGATTTGTTGTATCAATATCATTTTCAACTTTAACTGGTTCTCCTCAACCTGTACATTGTTTTTAGATTTTTAATTAAACAAATCAATACTGAAACGAACAGTTTAACCATTTATAGCTTTTGAGTTCTTACCCATGAAGATAACATCAGAGTTTGATCATTTTCATTTGAGCTGTGCAATTATGAAGAATATGGGAACCGGATATTGTAGATTTGAGCAGAAGTTGGTGAAAGTTGAAATTTCTTTCGCTTTGTAAACATTCAACTCCTAGAGAAGTTATATGAAGACTGAAGAGTGTAATATTGACCTTGCTTTAGCCATTTGGGAAAGCTCTTGTATGAGTCATAGCATCGTCCATCCCTTCCTACTTTACGAGCTTTCCAACACTATGCAGCCTACAATTCTCTTTTGTCATTCCAAGGAAAACCTAATTCCACCAACTTATTGGTAGAATTTTCTAGGTTGCAACAAGCTCTTTTTCTATCTCTATCTGCATTAGATTCATTTCCATAACAATTAATAACATTGAGAGTTTGACAACTTAGACCAATTGAATTTGGGCACACATGGACCAATATATGTATGAGCTATCAATAATTTATGCCCATTGATCATAATTTCCAAAGTTCAACTACATATATCAATCTTTCATTGTAAAGAAAGCAATGGATGATCAACATTTAAATTGAATACCGGACAATTGGGTTTTTTAGTGTCCATTCATTTTGGGACCATATTTCTCAGCTCTTTCATCGATCCAAGCCCTCATATCAGCCAACACCATATTAGCACTCTCATCAGGCTCCCCTTGTATCAACGAATGATATAATCCTTCATACAGCTTCAAGGTTTTATCTTTACTGCTTGCTTTCTCGTACAACATCTTCGAACCTGACGGGCAAGTCACTCCGTCCGCGGTCCCGTGGCACGTCAAGAACGGCGCCGTGACCTTGTGGAAGTTGTTCTGGACATACTCTGTTTGCCGGAGCAACTCCCTCATGGTTCCGACCCGCGGCGGACCGGTGTATCTCCTCGGATTGCTGGCAATAATCTTCAGCTTGTTAACGTCCCTTATGGCCTTTCCCACCATCTTGTTGTCCGGCATTGCTGCCCATGTGTCTGCCAAACCGAACAACAATCCGTACACGAACAGATGAACCTTCATATCATCAAAGACCATATTAGCCAATACTAATTAACACTGATAGAGACAGTAAATTGATTCAATAAAACAATTAGTTAGTCACTTGTTGTTACTAATATGTATACATAAATTCCACTTACACGTTTCACTGTATTTTTAGGAATTTAAGTAAGCATTTGATCTTTTCAAGCATTATATGAATCTTATTGGATGAGTTCACTATCTACGTGGTTACTCCAATTCATAAATCAATCGATAGTTAAAAACAACCTAACAAATCAACAAATAGTATATAAGATACACATTTTTCAAAGGAGAAGATTTCGGGTGATTTTCCATAGAATTTGACCATGTAAATCATAAGTTGACCAAAAAAAATTGAGGATCAGTGGAATTTGGATTTTGTACCCGGGATGGCTTCATAGGTTCCGGGATGACGAAGAGTGGGGCCGAGAAGATGATTCCGGTCCACGTATCGGGCTCGGATTGGAAGTACATGAGCAAAGTGGCAAGTCCACCCATTGACTCTCCGAACAGAAACGCCGGCAGGTGCTTATACCCGTCGCTGTACCTGACGCTCTTGAAGAAACAAAGCGACGTCGCCGCAACTTTATCCATGTCGCCGAGGTAACACCGGAGACCCTCCGACCGGCCGTGTCCGAGCAAGTCGGCGGCGAAGACGGCGTAACCCCAGGTGGCGTAATTGATGCAAATCTTCTGGAAAAGCCAGCCGGTGTCCGATCCGTAACCGTGGCTCATATACACAGTGCCCTTGATCGGCTGTTGCGGGTCAAGTGGAAGGAAGGATTGAGTGAAGAGCTTGCCGTTGGGAGTATCGAAATAGGACTTGGTGTTTCGGACTCCTTGGGAGGAGTAGTACTCTTCCGCCGGCATGTCGCCCCAGAAGTTCGGCGGCGGCGATGGTGGAGCTTCCTTTGCCATGTTCCGCCGGAAGAGTTAATCGGGAATGGATTGTTAGGGTGGGTGAAACTGAGGATTGGAAAATGATGAATAGTTTAAAAAAGAAAGGATTTTTCACCAACTCCTGAAATGCCCCCAGTTTGGGGTGGTTGGTGAACCAGACGGTGGGGTCTCTCTCACCAACCACACACTGAGGTTACCACTACCTATATTTAAGCATTAGGGAGTATTGGTCGTCCATTGGAGGAGTAGGTGGAATTTTTTGCAATTTTGGGACGTGATCATTTTGGATTACAATTTGGCTTGCATTTTCTGACTTTTTGTTTTATTTTCCCGCTAGTCAAAAGTCAAAACATGTGATGACTATATATAGTTAGTTTGTAAGGATTGAAGGATTGTTGTTGAGGACTAGACAAGACTTTGTTGTTGGTAGTTTGAATCTTATTGGTTACAAAATGAAAGAAAAGATAATGTTCTTGAGTCTTGACAATGAAAATGCACCATCAATAGTTCAGATACTTCTTGTGAGAGGGAGCCTATTTAGCTTCACCTTATAATCATGTCACATCCTGTGATCTTACCATCTAAACCACAAGAATTGCAATAAGGAACAATATATAAACCCTTGTTGAAACAATTATCTAACTAACAAAATGCAAAGTTTAGGTGAGGTAGTCTGAGTAGACTATTTTGTCAATTACCACAAAATGTGACTCAGATCTTAGTAAAGCCGCCAAATTTAAGCAGCCAATATGATAAAACTAGTACAACCAATATCACAATAATCGCTATTAAGTATTATAACTTTTTGATATAAATTTTAAAGTTCAATATGAACTATTTCTTACGGAACAACAGGTGTTATGTTATTCCTTTCCAGTTCCCCAATACTTTCTTCTTCTTTTTTTTTTTTTTTTGAAAAGCGATAATCATTTATAAAGAAACACAAAAGATTCAAACCGTATGGTTGAGCTAATACGATCTGCCATACATACCTTTCCAAACCACAAAGGAACCATAATCTATCCTTTGTGTACAATTTTGAATCAGTTAAATTGGCTAAATAGTAGTAACTTCACTAATTACGGAGGTTAGAAAATTACCAATAACATACCAAAAATCTAAAATACAAATAGGACCAATGATCCAGATGGAGATCCAACGACAATCCTTGTGAACAAAAACTGAGTGATTGACCAGAAATGCCAATCAAACTAGCTCCCAAATTCAGTAATTCACCTAAAAAGTTGATGCGAGAAAAAATAAAAGAAAAGAAAGCCACCTACAAATGTAATGCTGAATGTATGTCGGCCCATTGACCCTGAAGCCGACATTGTTGTAAAAAATGCATTAAGGGCTTTTCAACGGTCCATATTCTTTGGCTCTTAGCCAGGTTACTGGACTGTCAAAGATTTAAGGCCCAGTCATACAGTACCTATTACCCAATCCACCAAATCAGCATTTCAGTTATACTTATAGTACCATTAGTCTTTTTCTTTATTACAGTTTATTGGGTATTTGACCTCGGTTTAGTTTTGATAACTTCAATTATTGTCCGTGTAAATGTTAAATTGTACTCTGTGTAATAAATGTAGTCCACATTATAACAATTTATAAGTAAGCTGTATTGAAAACAATACAATTCACAAATTATATATGTGAATTATTTTTTTGAGAGAAAAGAACACTAAATATATATGATTCAATGTCTTAGTTGGTGGTGTCCATGATTAAGTCGCACTTATGAATGATACCGATTGACGCTAGGAAATCAGTGGCCGCATGGCTTTTTGTAATCCACGAGTTAATGAACGAAATAAGGGAAATCATTGGGTTGAAAGTAATAAGCTTTACAGACGACATTACCCTTCGTTCTACATGTTCGTCCTAATTTATCGTATTTCAAGAAGATCAATAGTAGGCTTGAAATGATGTGAAATTCTAACCTTAAAAAAATGAAACGAAACCCTTCGATTTTATTGGCGATCAAACTTGGAGTAGTATTTTGAATAATTCGATTGACCATTCTCTCTCGTTTCCCCAAAAAGAAAGTTTTGATTTAACAAAGCATACTATTTTTGTATATTACAAATAACGATATCTACATATTCAGTAATCTAACAAAAATTACTGTATCTAATACTTCTTCCAGAAATAATTGAATATGGTTTTGTTCCTCCCAAAACAACCTTAAAGATACTTTCTCCGTCCCATAATTATTGTCCAGTTTCGGTTTTCATTTCTAGTTTAAATTGTACTAAAAGTGAAATCTCAAACTAGACAATAATCTTGAGACAGAGATATATACAATCAAAAGAATTACTATCATACATTTCATTTATTCTAAAATGATTATTCATTTCAATACCTTTTTTGGAGAGAAACTTGAGGGTAAAGCTATAGTGTCGTTATTAATTTTTAGGATATCCTCCTATTATTTAATTATTAACAGCCGTTTGATCAATCTAAATTAATCACAATCATCGAATTTACATTAAATGAATAAAAAATAAAAAAGTCAATTTACCGATTACCAAAGTAATTTATATATCGTAATACAATTTAATTGGAGTCCCTTTCCTCCCATTTTACTTGACATCAAGTACTACATGTCTCTGTTTCCTCTTTGTACAATTCAGAAAATTCGTAGAGAGTCTTAATCTAGTCCATGATAAGGCAAAAGAATGTACCCACTACTTTATTTTGTTTTAAAAAAAAAAAAAAAAACATTTCGTTCTCCTCTCTCTCCCTCTTCCTTTCTTTTCCTCTCGCTACTGTTGTTCCTTCTTCTCCTTCTTTTTCTTTTAATTTTTTTTTTAACGGTGCTATGGTGAAGCATAAGAAGGAGGCACGGCTAGAATTAGAGAAGACAGGGATGATATCAATTTCCGTGAATAGTGAACATGAATTGAAGATTTCTATTTTCCTCAACAAGTAAGATTTTTAGTTATCACCTAAACATTTCCATATTCAAAAGTATAGTTTCGATAAGCCAATACAAAATATAGAGGCAATATTTTTATTATATGTGAAATAACGTATACAAAAATGTATCATGTTTAAAAATATGTTTTTATGCTCAAAAATATCAAAAAAAAATTGCAAACTATTATTCAAAATACTACGTAAAAACTCGCTCAATAATGTTTATAAGAAAATTTTAAATAAAAAATAAAATACTAAATAAAAATTTTATAAGAAATGGTGCAATATTTTTTAAGCTAATGTGCAAATTACGTATGTATAATTATAGGTGCAATTTCTAATGAGCAAATGCATAATTACATATAGTTTTTTTTTTTTTGTAATGTAAAAATAAAATAAGAAAGTTTAATTAAGAATTATAGAAAGTTTTGGTATAATGTAATTGTTTGAAAGTGAACGTGTAATGTATTTTTCTTAAATGCGCAATTGCATCATCAAAAGTGTAATGTCTGAATATTTATTATTAACTTATTATAAAAATAAAAATTAGGAAAATTTAATATTATATTGATATGTTACTTTCTCATTAATTAAAATTTAACGGGACTAAATCCCCAAAATAGGCAATGAGATCCTAGAATTTTCCTAAACTTGAAAGACTCCGACATTTATTTGTAGACTAAGGAAAATAGTAACTTTAACATACAGTAATTTATTGTTATTTTTGTTCATCATTATTATTAAACATTATCATGTCATTTGAGAAGCAAGGATGATTAACCAAAAAAAAAAAGCAACGGTGTGCGGTTCTGCGGGATTTGCATAGTAGCGAATCAAAATCTAGGAGTCAATTAGGCGTATATGGATCTAATCACCAATGATGAAAGTGACATCACACTTAACCGGCTCCAAAAAGATCCACAAGTTGCATTTTACATTTACCAAAAAGTGATTATGGTAGAGTGAAAGTCTTCCATCTTACTCATAGGTCGATGGTTCGAACCTCGCCATGGATATGGAGCAACCTTAAATACTGTGGCTAACTGTCCCACCTATTAAGGTGCCTAAAATTCAGTGAGAAGGATTAGTCACTGTTACCGACGGTAGATACCCTGTAAATATATATACATATAAAAAAAAGAGCGGAGATGGGGGAGCATTTAGCTAATCAAGATAATTATATCCATTGTGGGTAATTTTTTTGGTAATTAATCCTCTCCATTGGATTGTTGATAATAAGGTTTTTTTTTTTTATTGCTTTCTCAATTCTCAGCATATAAAACATCGCGCTTGGGTCTAAATTTGTCAAGTCAGTCGGCCAGAATGGCAAAAATGAAAAGGAAATGTTTATGCATTCGGCACTGATGATCGTCTTATTTAACAGCGTGGTTATCATTGTGTTTAGACTTTTTGCCCCACTGCCTTGTCGTAATAATCTTGGAATTGAATCAAACTTTTTTTTTTTTTTTGGTTTTTGTTTTTGCCTTGCATGATTAAAACCTTTGTCCTCATGAATCCCAACCAATGACACACCTCTTGACTAAAAATTCGTCAAGTAAACTGGAATGACGTTGGTACTTGGTACAGTATTTCTTATACGGAGTATTATATTTAAATTTTTATTAAACCTAATGAGATTAATATTTTGAATTTGAATTTCAACTAATTAAATTTAGTTTAACGAACTAGACTATGATACTTTTCAGTTATACGTGTTTGTAAATAATACTACAACACAATACAAAACAAAAGACAAACAAAGGAAGATTGAAAGACAGTAAAATGTACACAAGAGGACCACCTAGGATCCGATCTCCTCCTAATCATATATGCCAACCTTCCAATTTGCAAAAAATGGACCGCATATCGTACAACAGTATTGCAATTGAACCCAACAAAATACTATAAAGAATTTATATAAGCTGGTTTGAACTCGTAAGAATTATATCGTCAAACATTGTCATTTGACGGTGTAACAATTACCTATTGCAGTTTCAGTTAATTGATCTGTCTAAATTTCATCGTCAAACCTCACATGCGATTATCATGCATAAAGATTACTGAAGCGGCTGTAACTAAAGCCGCCGTTAGAGATCAGAACAAACATGAAACATGCTAGTTTGTGAATTTGCAATATTATGAGATTAATCGTAGTATTTTTTTTTTTAAAAAAATTTGGATAGTTCCGGTGAGAATTGAAACCTAGACCTTTCGGTAATAATCATCTCCCATCCTAATCCCTTAACCATTCCACCAGACCCTCCCACTCCACATTAATCATTGTTTCTATCGGCTATAAGAAACACGAGTCAAGGAAGGGAAAAGACAAAATAAAATGATCCGACAGTTACAGAATTTTACAAATTTGTACAAATTTATCGCCATTAATACAATACAATTAGTCAGAAATAAAATTTACGTTATCTACATTTTCTCTGAATCCAAGAGAAGAATTACCTATTTTCTAA